ACATCTGACCCGCAGTCTGTTATATGCGCAAGCGCCAGAAGCAAATTTAGAAGGCCTGATCTAAGTTCGTGCGTTCCTCTATTGTATACTATGTGTGCATCTGGCAGGCTCTGCACTACCTTGCCCCATTCTCTATGCACTCTGTTGTTTAGATATTCTTCAGGCTTCTTGTGCTCGGAAAAAAACTCTTTCAGCGCGCCCGATGCACTGGCGATGTTCTGCACTTTGTATTTTCTGGAGTCCGGCGAATACAAAATGCAGCACAAAAGCGTGTACAGTCCTGTCTCTACGCAGTTGCTGTAGTTCTTGGAGCTGTCCTCTGTGAATTCTTTGAGTGCAGTGTCGTAGGGGGGTATGCTTGTGTACGTTGGCACCTGGCTAATGTTTGCAAACGGGAATTTCACGTTTTGCTCGAGTATTGACAGCGCCCTGGCCAAGGAGGCTGTGTATTTGTGGCTGGGCGCATCCTGCCTAGTGAATATCCTGTCAAACACTGATTCTAAAGCTGCATTCTCATGCGAGCACTCCTCCATCATATTCTGCAGTATTTTGTGCACGCATTTGCACAGCTCTATCCCGCTTTCTGGGCTTTCCAAATATTCGAAAATATATGCCTGTATAAGAAACTGCGCAGTTTCCAGGACATCTCCATACTCGCAGGACAACGAGGTTTTTGTATAAGAGCGCGCCTCTGCCTCAGCACCGCTAATATCTGCACTGCAAATAGAGGCGCCAGGTAGTGAGCCTGTGCGTGCGCTGCTTGATCTATGCCCGCTCTCTTTGAAGAACTTTATGACAGCCAGAGCATCTCTTTGCTTTACGAGTTGGGCCTCTTGCTCCTTCTCGCTCCATACAAAAATGTCTGAGGTGAGGCTCACCGGCTTGCCTGCGCCCTTGAAGATGACTTCAGACGGCGTCGTCTCCATGGGGACGTCCACGCCTTCGCTCAGCAGAAATAGCGAAGCCAGGACATGCATAGAGTGCTCTTTGTTTTTATTGCTTGTGAGGAATCTGTAAAAGGAATCTCTCCTCCCCCATACAATAGAAACAGAGCCGTCTACAGAAGGAAACATCTGAATGAGAGTGCGATAATAACGCGCACAATACTTGGGCTGTGCTCTAGTGCTGCACACACGCAGGCTGACTGTATCTTTTGACGGCGTTCTAACGAAGACCCCCGCTTTGTTTTCACCCTCTTTCAGGCTATAGCTTACATCTATTTCAGGCGAAACAAATCTTTTATTGTACACCAGGCCTTTCCTATGGTATATGTACCCTCTTATAAGATTCAGCGGGCCGTGCGTGTTTATGTACACGCTGCCTGCGCCCGTCTCTATTTCTGTGCTGTTTATGCTCTCTATTTTATCAAGTGGCAGTCGGCACATCGCCACGCTGCACAGTGCAAGGCGTAATATACCTAATAGTAGATGCATGGGAAGCAAAAATAAAAATGCGCAAAAGTATAGCAATTCCAAATGCGTCAAGGAAATTGGCGTTCAGTGTCTAGGCGATGCAGGACATGCTGCCTTTGTGTTTGCAGAATGTCCCCTTGAATGCATCCAGGCCCGCAGCCTTGCATAGCCGGTGCATGCTTTTTGCAAAAATATCTATTGTATGCGGGTACTGGCGTTTCTGCATGCAAAAGTGCACTCTCCATGCTGCAAAATGTAAACAAGGCAGCTTTTTCTTGGGCCAGGAAAATATATGCTGTGCTGGAGCGCACAGTGCGAAAATGGGGGCGCTATGTTCTAAGTCATATCTAATTTATTTAGTAAAATCGGCTTTGTTCTTATACCTATGAGATATGCTTATTTTTAGAGTGTATATCTCTAAGACTCACCAATAACCTCTTTTAGTGCGGATATGTTATTCTGCAATGTGCTTACAAGGCCCTCCAGCTTGGCCAGCTGCTCCTGTGCAGACAGGCTCTTCTTGGAAACTAAAGGCGTGAACGCGCTTTCTTCTGTTTTGTTCATAATGCTCTTTCTGGGCGAAGACAGCCTGCTTGGCTTTTTGGGGGATTTGAGCGAGGCCCCCTTCTTGAGATGGACTTTTCTGGTTCCCTGCACTGTTCTTTCGATAGGAACGTCCGAGCTGCTCTTGTATCCGTAGTCGATGGCAGGCTCTTCCTCCTCATACTCCGCCTCCTTTGAAAGTGGGACTCTTTCTTCGGCGGCGCCTCCTATGATGTCGGCCAAAAACGAGTTATTGCTCACCAAGTGGCTCTTTCCTAGCAGCCCTTCCATAACAGAAAGCGGCTTTGGCTCAGACCGCTGCTCAATGGGGTGTCTGATGAGCTTGGACTTCCCGTTTTTCTTGTGCCCCATGGCCGCGCTTTCTTTCTTTGTGCTTCTAGATGCGCCTTCCATAGCCAGCACGTGGACAGGCTCTTTTTCCGACGACTTGCTTAGTGTGGGATATGCGGTTGAGCCAATGGCTCTGCCTGCTGTCAGGGCGTATGCTTCGGACACAATAAAAGGTATAACTATTACTAATGAAATTTTCATATTCAGCCCACGCACAGCCTCTTATATACCTTGTCCGAAACAATGTATTAATCCTGTGCAAATAGAATCGCACCAAATAGACATGGTATCCACACAGTAAAACAAGATGATGTAAAGCAGCTTCATACATGCTATACAGTGCACCCGAACGCTGGTGTGTCGATGTGTTTGTTGTGGCGCACTGGCACACTGCAATAAAATTCAAATGCCATGCAGGCGCACCAATAGCGCTGCAAAGCCTCATTTGACGGCCTAAAATGCCGCCTATTGGTGCGCAGGCGCAGGCGCCCATATGCTTTAGCGCATGAAGGCGCGTTCTGTGCAACAGCGAGTCTCTTGCATCAAAAAGAGCGCGCTCTCGAAGAGCCAGAAATGCGTGCTGCGCAGAGAGACTTGCCGCGCGCAGAATCAGCCCATGCTATATCACTAAAATCCCCAGATCACACAGTGCCCTTGCAGCCCAGTGCAGCAAGCCAAACACTAATGCAGCGCTAATATCTCAAACAAGTACATTTATTTGCCATTCCACAGCCCCTGCACCTTTTTCCAGGCTTTCTTCAGCACGCTTTTGGGCCTTTTCTTGGAAAAAATGTGATCCAGCTTGACTTGCTCATCAAATATATCCCGTCCCTGATTGCACCCCAAGCTCAGATTTATCGTGAGTTCCTTGTTCTTTCGCCTTCTTTCATTTAAGTCTTTAATAAGTAAAGTTATGAGCTCTTTTTCTTTGCTTTTTTCTTGCAGCATTTTACTTTGCCTCCTGGAAGATTCATTTTTCAATGCCCAATTATTCATGTGACTTTTTTTATGTTTAACCCATGGCTAAAGAGCAGAAGAAAGGAATTCAATTGGCGAATTTGCTAGAGAAAAAGCTTAAAATGAACAAACTGCACGGACTGCAGGATTTATACGTGATGGTCAATGGCGTGCAGATGGCGATTCGGGATGTAGTCGCATACCACATCCACGACACCGATATGGTCTACGTTGTTGGGCCGTTGCAGCCAGCTGTCAAAACGGCAAAACAGGCTGCCTTGAAGAGGAAGGCCCAGAGGGAGGCCCGAGAGCAGGCAATGAAGGAGCACCAGCACACAGCAGAGTGCGCGCACGGCGAGGAGGCCAGAAGTCTCTCCGAAGAGGACGAGGTAGACGTTGTGGAAGACGCTGTCGTTGAAGAGGAGGCTGCAAAGGCCGCTCCGGAGGTTGCCATCACAGAGGATGATATTAAGGTGGTGGTAGAGCAGGGCGGTGTCTCCCACGAGGAGGCTGCCAAGCTGCTCAGAGAAAACGGAGGAGACCCTCTTTCCATTCTTATGATGCTGGGGAAGTAATAAAGATTTCTATGCCTATTTTCCGCTGAAAACAGTAAAGCCTTCTTTAAGATCCATGTACATGTGCTTCCTTTTCGGGTCCATTTTCTGGAGCTCCTTCAGAACGGAGACCCTGGCGGACTCCTCCGTGGTAAAGTGCAGCTTTGTGAGGAGGCTTTCCACGGTCGGGTTTTTTCCCAGGAACTCAGAGACAAACTTTGGGGGGCGCATGGCGAGAGGGCTGTCCAGGGAGATGTCTACGGTTTGCTGGCCTTTTGTTTTTATCTCTATGCGAGAGATGTCTGCAAAGCTGAACCCGTCTGCCTCGAAGGGAATGGCCACCACCTTCTTGAAGTCCGCAGTGTATTTGGTGACTTTGTCTTTGCAGTGCACAACCACGCGCGTGCGCCCTGGGACCCTCAGATGAACCTCCATGCGCGTGTCAAACTGCTTCAAGAAAGAGTTCTGGCCTGCAAACCTTCTGGCGGTTTCTGCGATGCGAACAAAAACCCATGGCGAAGATATGCCAGGGTCAGTGAAGACAATGTTTTTTATATCTTCTTGCTTTATGCTTCTGTACGTGCCGTTCTCCACGGAGGCAAAGTATGCGCTGTAGTTGGATATCGACTTGGAGAGCTCGTCCTCGATTATCCTGGGAGAGTATCGGTACACAGTCGATATGTGTATCCATGCGTATATGTTTCTGTTGTCCGCAGAGAGCACTTTGTGCACAAACTGTATGTCCATGTCGTATATGCTGTCTCCGTCCTTGCTGAGCAAGTCCAGCCTTTTCATAAGGTACATCCTGTACCTCCAAGCGTGCCACGAGTTCGGGTTGTTTTCAATTATCTCCTGCGTCAGGTAGAGCTGCTCTCTCTGGTTTGCGGGCATCAAACCGTTCTCCAGCACGCCGTAGGCTTTGTACTCTTCCGAATTCATTCGGAGTATTTCCATGGCCGAGTCGTAGCTCTCCTTCTTCAGAAACTCCTCGTCTGCCTTCTTGTATGCCTCGCAGAACGCATGCTCATCAATGTGCGTGGTAGAGCGTATAAACATAGACCTCAGAAAATTAATGCAATATATAGAAGCGCACAAGCCAAAAGCACGCCCAATCCCAAGCAAAGCCGCGTGAGCCCAAGATTCAATGCAGCACATATTTATTTCTCTAGCGCATTTCAATTCTGCATCCTTTGCAGTGTGATATATTATGCAGACTATTCCAGCGCTCTACTTGGCTGCACACGCTGTGTAGTCTGGGTGCAAAGTTGCCACTCTATTCCCTATGCCAAACAGGGCCTTCGGATACTCCCTGTGGAAAGTCCCGGCTCTGTACGTCTCGGCGTATTTGTGGATCGCTCCCACTCTCTCGGCAGGCAGAAGGTCGTCTCGCGCCCCGTTTCCGTACACCAGGAAAGTCGGCGATCTGTCAAAGACTGCTGCATACCCGTACCGCCCGTGCAAGACTATTCTTCGGGGGGTGTCTCGCGTGTATATGGACCGAATAAACGCAGCCTCAAACACCTTGCTGATTCTGAATATCTGCACCTGCGACGTTGCAGTTCCAACAAACATGGTTTCCGTCTCCATGGACACTGCAAGCGTGTTGGCTGCAGACAGGTGGTATATTGTCTTCTTGGTGTCCTTTCTCTTCGTGTTTAGCCCAAAGAAGAAAATATTCGACGGGCCCATCATAATGATGATGCTCTTCGTGGGGTGGAACTCCACCTGCTGTATATTCTGCGACCCTTTGTAGAAAACTACTGCTTTGTTCTTCTTTGTGTTCAGAATGACAACTTTTCCGTGCAAAATGGCTGCGAAGTACACGCCCGCGGGGTGCCATGCGCCGCGCCTAAATGTTTTCTCCGGGAAAAGCCTGCCCTCCATGCTCTGCACGTCCCAAGTGCTCTCGCTCTCCGTGCACGCCAAAAACGCGCTTTCCACGTCCAGGACCAGTATTCCGTGGCCAAATGTGAGCACAACCACCTTCTTCTCGTCTGGCGACAGATACGCGGCTCGCACAAGAACGTCCGTCTCTCCAGAGACAAACTTCACCACGCGCTCCGGCAAGTACCCATCCGCGTCCTTGAAGGAGAGCGATGAGCTGTGCACCACCAGATAGTACATTCCCCTGGCAACAGCAATGACGTCTCGGACGTTTTCTCCGTACGCCGTTTCTGTGTACTCTCTGACAGGTATCTCCATGTCCGCAGGAACTTTTACCTTCACAGGCGCCAGCTTCTTCCTGAGGCCCTGCAGCTCGGAGGCGTACACCCTCGGCCTGCGCACGACGTCCCTGTAGAAGTGCACATTCCTCCAAATGCCCTCGCGAGACGTCCAGAGCTCGTCCAAGTCGTCGTATGCGTCGCTTTGCTTGGGCCTCTCTGTTTTCCGGCTGAGCTTTCTGTCGATGGTCTCGCTCTGCTCCTCCCGGCCCGCCCAAATGTCTTCTTCGTCCTGAACTCTCTCCCGCTGTGCCCGAATCTCGCGCTTTTTCCGCTGCTTCTCCAGGAAGACGTCCAGTGCAAGCTCCTGCCTCCGCACATGCGCCGCGTTTTCCTCCTGCGAAACTTTGTTGACAAGCGGCTCCTCCCGGGTATCACACACAAACGCTGTTGAGTTTGGCCGTTCTATGACAAAGTGCCCAACAGGCCTGTTCGACTTGAACTTCTCTATTTTGGTTTTGTCTTTTTTTGTGATTTTTAGGCGCCCCTTGTCCGTCAAGTACTCAGACTTTCTTTTTACTCGCAAGAATTTCTGAAGCGCATCCATAAAGAGTTAAAACTTTTCTTTGGGTTTTTTCTATTTTATTTTCTATTTTTTATTCCCCTGGATGCAGATATTCGTAAAGACGCTCACAGGGAAAATAATAACCCTAGAAGTAGAGAACCACGATACAATTGAAAACGTAAAGGCAAAGATCCAGGACAAGGAGGGAATACCCCCTGACCAGCAGAGATTGATCTTTGCAGGTAAACAGCTTGAAGATGGGCGAACACTTTCTGACTACAACATCCAGAAAGAAAGCACCATCCACTTGGTGCTTAGACTGAGAGGAGGAGGAAAGAAGAAGAAGAGAAAGGCATACACCACCCCCAAGAAAGTCAAGGTTGTCAAGGAGAAGAGAAAGCTTGCGTGCCTGGCCCACTTTGAGGTAGGACAGGATGGTAAAGTCAAGATTCTGAAGAAGACGTGCACGAACTGTGGGCCTGAGATATTTATGTCTACCTTTGCCGGTGGGTCATTCTGTTCAAAGTGCTTCACCTCAGTCCTGACAGAGGATAAGCAATAAATAAAAGGCTCTGATACTTGCAGAACGCCACGGGACGGCGCCCAGAGGGCGTGCACTCGGGTATACTTAACATTGTATTTATTGGGAAAACGACTCTATTATCTGGGATACGTGGTCCTGCGGTAGTATGGTCGCTACTTCCTCTGTTATTTCAAACAGAGACATTTTCTTCGCGTCTTTCTGCGCGACAGTGTACAGCGCCTTTGCAACTGCTACGGTTGGAGACTCGGAGGTTGCGCCTTCCAGCTCCTTGATGGCTTTCTCGCTCTTTGCCCCTATGGCGCCGCCCTTGTAGAGCGCGTAGTTTCCGTCTGGCTCTATCATGGAGATGACCGAGCTTCCGTTGTAAAACCCCAAAAGAACTACCTTCACCCCAAACGGCCTGTATCCGCCTGTTATTGTGTACTTCTGTATAAAGTCGCTAAGCTCCAGCGAGAGCTTCATTATGTCGATGGTCTCTCCGATCCTGTACGCATACTCTCTGGCTATAAACACGGCCTTGTCTATGATTATAAGGCTGTCTGGCCATATTCCTGCAAACGTTAAATATATGCCTGTCTCCACCTCCTTAAACTTGTCCAAGTCTGAAAGCACTTTGTGCTTGCTCTCGGCCCTTTTCTCAATGGCCACGGATATAGTTTTGCCGTCTGAGTAGAATATAACAGGAGAGCCTCTCTCTGCAGCTAGCTGCGCATACTCGACCTGGAATATTCTGCCGTCTGGCGAAAATATAGAAAGCGCTCTGTCATACTTTCCTCCAGCCATACAAAAATAAATACGAAATGGAAATTAAATACTCGCAGGAGCATATGGGTGGGCGCATGAGGAAAATCGGTGAAAATGTAAATGGCTGTGCGGCAAGCATGCTGCACAGTCCCAGGGAAGGCGCCCGTAGCGCGCTGGGATTTGTCTGGCGTTCGAAAATAGAGCCTCTTCGGTGGCATTTTAGAAAAACGGGCCTACTGGCGCGCCCTACAAACGCAAGAGAGTGCGCGCTGTGCTGGGCTGCCCGTATTCTCCCAGGCCTTTAGCATGCAAAATAGTGCACTTGGCAGAGTGTTTATTTAAGTCCTCTCTCAGCCGACCTTGTCAGGTATTCGTTTGTTCTTTTTATGGCTGTGCCTAAGGCGCCGCGCATGTCTTCTGGGTCTTCCAGCATGCTTGTGAAGAAGTTTGCTGCAAAGACATCTCCTGCTCCCGTAGTGTTGATTACATCGATTTGATCGGGCTCCATTTCCAGTGTTTTCCGCTCTCCTGCCTCCTTGTACAGGACAGCCACAGCCTCGGACCCTGATGTTATAACTGCATTCTGGCAGGCGTTTTCTATGTGGCTGTGCAGCTCTGCTCGGCTTTGGGGAGAGCGCCCCCTCTCCTTCACGAACAGCTCAGTGTACTCTGCTATGTTTCCTACGACCCAGTCGCACTCGTTCAGAAACACCTTCACGGCATCGTGCGAGCGCGAGATCACTCCAGGATCCGACAGGTTTAGGACAGTCATGTACTCGCCCGTGGACTGGCGGCGCGCCTTCATAAGATACATTATGCTTTCGGTTGACGACTCAACGGTGTATGCCGATATGTACAGTATACTGCGCGCCCTGTTCTCTGACTTGCTTACGCACTGCATAAATGTGTCCACCATGGATCTGGACACTGTCTGCTCCAAGTTTACTTTTGTGATCATAGCTCTGTTTTTTCCATTGGGAATCACGTAGCATTTTCCTCCCTCGCTTTCGATGTATTCGGGGAAAATAGTCAGTCCCTGCACTTTTCCTTCGAGAGCGCCCGCAAAAACCTGCTTTGTCATTTTGTCGGTTGAAAATGGACCTATAAACACCGCCTGCACCTGGCTCTGTCTCTGCGCAATTTCCATGCATGTGTTGTATGCCATCCCACCATAGTACAGCTTTATTCCGTGAGACTTGGAAATTTCATCGGCAATGAGATCTCTCTGGGCGGGAGTCAAAGCAGAGTACAATGTCATTTCGTTCGGGTTTAGGCCCAGTTTCTGCACTATCTCAGAATTGCTTATGAAAATATCTATGAAAGGGACACACAACGTGTAGAACTTGAACAAAGTCATTAATAAAAAAATATAACTACATTTATATGCAAGATCGCTGTGCTCTGCCATTTGAGTGGGCGGCTTGCCAGAGCGCCAATTGGCACACTTTTATGTTAATACAGCGGTTGGCCGGCGCTGTACATGCCAATTGGCGCTTGCGCCTTCGTATTGCTTTCCAGCAGAACAGGGCATCTATCCTACGGTCCTGAAAGGGCTGGGCCACGGCATACCAAGGGCCAGGAGCCAGAAATAAGAGCGCAGAACAGCCCGATTTCCAGGCCTTGGCTGCAAGAGAGCGCACAGAAGAGGCTTGCCTGCAGACACACCTTACGAGAAAATCAAGGCGTCGCGCAGCTTTCCCTCTTCCAAGGAGCACTGCACGCACAGCGCAGAAACTGCGGGCAGAGTGTGCAAAAATAGGTCAAGCCGCGATAGGCATTTTCTTCACCCGCACTTTATGCTGCAGGCGGAATAGCGTGCTGCGGCTATCCGATCAGTATCAGCACATTTCGCCCTGAAATTAAATTGAGAGTATTTATTTGTGCTATTATTTGAGGTAACACATTGCATGTCTGCGCGTGCGGCACACAGGGACTTTATAGTTCGGTGCATAACCGAAGAAACAAGAAGCTTCTATCTTACAGAGAGCATGCGCATCAGCACATTCTACTGGGCCCTGGGGTCTTTGTTTCTGCTGGAGGAGCACAAAAAGCTGAACTCGTTTTCTGCGAGAGTAGGGGGTTTTGTCGCTGCCTGCCAGAACCCTGACGGCGGATTTGGAGGGCGCCCGGGGTATCCTTCCTGTGCGATCTCCACTCTCTCTGCACTGCAAATACTCTATCTCATCAAGAGGAACAAGGAAATTGTCCTGGCCAGCCCTGAAAGCGCGCCCCTGCCGCAAGAAGAGGCTCCGTGCGAAAAAATGCCAAGCCAATTCACAATACGCGACCGAGAGGAGGAGCTTTTGAACTTGCAGACTGCTGTCGAGAGCACAGGCTTGCCGCCTGCGGATGCGCCCAGCGGGGCAGAGTTCCCTGAAAAAAGCATAAACTACGTTCTGTGCAACGCATACCTGGAGAGCATTGTTACAAACGAGAAGCTTGTGGGGTACGACTCAATTCTGGATATTCGGCAAATATGCTGCTACGTGTCTTCCAAAAACCTCCTGTCTCTTCTGGCGCTGGGAGGCCCCGAGATGTTTTTCGTGCTCACCCCAATGAAGAAGATGCTTTGCAACTACATCTCCCAGTGCATAAACATCGACGGCGGCTTGGGGGTTATTCCCGGGTGCGAGTCTCACGCAACATACAACTTTTGCGGGCTATCTGCTCTTTTCCTAATGGGAGAAATGAGCTGTGTATACCCGCAGGAAACGGCAATGAGCATTTCCCTGCTGCAAGCCGCGTCAGGCGGCCTTTCTGGGCGCCCCGACCGAATTGAGGAAATATGCAGCACGTACTGGAACTACTCGTCTCTGGCTATTATGGGGAAAGAAAGCTATGTGGATGGCAAAGCCGTTCTCGAGTACATCTCCTCCTGCGAGAGCCCCACAGGGGGATACTCTGACAGGCCCGGCGAGAGCCCGAACTTACTGCACACGCTGTATGCGCTCGCCTGCAAGTCTATTGCTGAGCACAAAATTGTCATGGAAATCCTCCCCACACTTTCATTCTGTCTTTTTGAGTGAAACTATTTGCTCAAGAGCTTCAAAGAAGCGCTCCCTTCCATATGTAAGGCTGTGGTCGCTTTCAATCACGCACACCTTCTTCATGCCCGGCACTTTTCGAAAATGCCTCGCAATTTCCTCCACTGGTTTGACAGCATACTCGTCGAACGCGCTGAGTATGCAGTACATATCCGCGTTGAACCGGTTGAAGCACTCAATTTTTTGGTCTGTAGAAAAAAAGTCTTCGTCTCCGCCCGGCTTAAAGAGACTTATAATTCTGTCTGCGCGTATTTGGCTGTTTTTATACATTAAAAATACACTATCTGTCTCCTCCGCGCTTTCAATTAGCCTCTCGGCTGCTTCAACAACGCTTTTTATCTCGGGGTTTACGCTTTCCTCATACTCTCTGTCGCTCACGGGGGCTTGCAGGATGAAGACTTCGCTTTTTCTGGGCTTGTGCGCTTGCGCGTACAGCATAAGCACCTGGCAGCCTGTTGAGTGCCCGATGAACCACACGCCCGCATACGCCTGCATGCCCAGCTCTGTGTACATGACAGACACGTCGTGAACGTCATCGTGTATGCTGTGCAGTCCGTAGTTGGGCATAGACCTAAGCCCAAGCGAAAACACCCGGACGCCCATAGAAGCGCCGCGATCCATCATCTCCCCAGAGTAGAAGCCGTCTGCAGTGTCGCCCAGTCCCCCCACCAGCACGATAAGATACTCTGACTCCACTCCATTGTCGCAGTAAGCGAGTCCAGACGCTGTTTTCTTCATTGTGTGAAGTGCTGAAAAACAGAATGTAAAAAGAGCTAAACGATGCCACGCTTAGCGCGTAAAGGGCCAAACGCACCAGCATGCTGGCGCTCTCGAGCTATATACGGCTAGAATCTCTGCCTTTCCAGGCGGGGCGTGCACTTCGCGGCCGAGTTCGGCTGCCCAGGCCTTTAAACTGCGCGCATTCATCTTTTCAGCCTGCCAGAGGGCAGTGGATGCTTGCATGGGCCGCATAAATTCTGCACAAACTGCCATGCACAGTTTGCACTTTTGCACTCTATATATTCGCGCCCACATTTTTGCAAATGGGGTATTTCTGTGCCGTGTGCAACACGCTAATAAAGTCGAAAACTCCAAAGGGATGGATTGACCACATACGCGGGGTCCGGCACAAGCAAAACATAGCAGAGATAATTAGGCCAGAAAGTGCTGCTGCCCTTGGCTCCATGGTTCTTGAGGGGGTTCTGAAAGAAGAAGAGCGCAAAGGGATACTCGGCATAATATCCGCAACGCCGAGCAGGGAGGACTCCAGGCAGAAAATACTTGCGTTTCTCAACGGGGTCCTAGTGCGGAAATCGATGGAAATATTCCGTGCCACGTAGCAAGCGGTGCACAGTTGCGAGGCCGTAAATAAACAGAAGAAGCACGTGCCGTATGCAAAGTTCAAATGCGCTGGGAAAAGAGCGCCCAGACCTTTACGTACACAGTATAAACATAAAAAGCGCGCATAGCACGTCTGCAGGCCTGCGCTGTGCACTTTTGTCTCTTTGGTTTGTCTGGCATGCGTTTATTTTTTGGTTATTTTTCCGTGGATTATTCCCAGATACTCCTGGTACTTTGGATATCCTCCCATTTGGTCTTCCACCATGTAACCAATAAAGTCTGCGTCCATCTCGCCCTGCACGCACTGGGTGACCTTCAGCTGCACTCCGTACATCTCCTTAAGCCTCTCCATTGCGGACAAGACCACCTCGTTCTGAACCATTTCGTCGATGTAGTCTACCGCGCCCTTTCCAAACCACAAAATGCATCTCTCTCCTGCGTCCATCAGGTAGCTTTCGTCCGAGTCCAGCACGCGCATGCTGAGCCTTTCAGCCACCAAATCGTCGATTGACGAGACCGTAAAAAGCGACGATATTTTAACAAGCCTGGGATAGAACATCCTGAAGGTCTGGTCCACAGGCAGGGGCATTACCTCTCCTGCAAACTCTGTCCGCATGGCGTAGCTCAGCTGGATTTTGGGCTGTTTGAAAATGCTCTGCACAATCACAGGGAGCCCCTTTATTGAGTCAGGCAGCACGAGCTGGGTGCTTGAGGTGTCTTTTGCGCATGCTCTCTTGTACAATGTCAGCGCATGGACCATGGAGCTCTCCACTTTCCGCGCGTTCTCTACCATGTTCACGGGCTCTGAGCAGATGTACTTGCAGACCCCGCTAAACATTCCGTCCATGGAAAGCCCTGCAAACACCTGCGGTATGACTCGGCTCGCCCGCAGCTTCATGTTCAGCACGCGCACTCGGTTCTCTCCAGCTTGGTTGACATACTCGATAGCTGCCTGTATGTACACGGGCGTGCCCTCTTTAAGGAAGTCCTCAACAGAAAAGCTCACTGCAAATGTTGTTGACTGCGTCATCTCCGGGAAAGAGATCATTGAAATGTTCTCCGAGGACCCGCTGCTGTAAATCGCCCTTTTTTTAAGCCCGTTGCTGCAAACCACCCGCACAGAGCACCGGAAAAAGGCCTCCTGGTGGGCCTTGTCCAGCATCCCGCTGTACACATGCTCGCGCTCTACAGTGCCCCCAGAGCTAAACACAATCCTGTGCAGCTTTTCCAGTTTTGTGGCCGCAGTGCAAAATACGTGCAAAGACATTCCGCAGTCTATTGCTGTTTGTGTCGTGCTTTCTAAAACCTCCCCGTACTCTGCCCCGCCCAGCCACGCCATGACTTTGCATCCTCCCGTGTACGCAGCCATCTGTATGGCTGCTGTCAGGGCACTGGACATGCCAAACGCAGGCGCACTGCAGGACTCGACTATTTCCATGAGCTGGCCAACTCTTTCTTCTGTGAGGTCGTCCGTCTCTATAAACAGAGGCGCGCACAGGCCGCACTCTCCCTTTATGTTGTACATCACGTTGAGCGTGTACCCTAGCTCCCCGTCTGAAACCACAGACGCATTTTCTCCGACCAGCACAACTGCAAACCTTCTGTAAAAAAGGCTGAACTCCTTGGAGAGCAGAATGTTTTTCATCGCGTTTATGTACTCGGCATACCCTGCGGTGTTTTTGGAGACCATCGAGCAGTCTATCATAAAGACGACTGAAGGCTCGTTCCACTTTCTGCACGAGGGCAGCTGCAGGTTTCCCTTGGGGAGCGTGCTGGAAGAGTACCAGCTTCTGTCCTTTGAGTGCACGCCCTCGCACACGTAGTCGGTGCTGTACTCGAGAAGAGAAGGGCAGTCTGCCTGGACCTTATTCATGGTCCCGCACATTGCGCACTTGTACTGGTACGTCGTGTCGTCGTTCATGGGCGTGGGAAAGGAGCTGCACTCGGTGCACTTCGTGAGGTAGTCCATTCTGTACTCGGGAATTGCTACTGCTGAGTTGAATGGCTGCACGCTCACGAGCAAAGGCAGGCCCACAAGCTCAAACAAGTCCTCGTCTGCAGGGACGACGTACATGCTGGAGCGCATCATCAGGTGAGAAGCTCCTTCTGAAGAATACTTCACACCAGGATTGAGCGCATACGGGGGCGACGCTCGGGCATCTTCTCTTACCTTGTCGTGCTCGAGTATTTGCGGAATCGAGGGCAGCCTACTAAACACTTCGTGCTCTCGCGCGTCTCTGTCGCTGCTTGCTGGTTTGTTCATCCGTGTACTTAGTGATGGCACATTGTTGGTTCTGTTGAATGCATTATCTCTAAATACGTCTTTATCTTGCGAGTGGCTGAACATTACAATAAAATTTAAGCAAATTAAATGAATAGTTAAAAATAAATACATGGGACAGTATAAAGTAGTGAAGATGAAGAACCTCCTGAGAGCACACGAGAACAAAGTGTACATCTCGGGAGAGTATAAGAGTGAATATTGCATAGTGAAAGGATATGTGTTCAGGGTGCGGGTAGACTATGAAATGCCTCCATACAGCATAGCGCTGTCGCAAGTCCAGAGAGCGCTTGTGAGCCTGCAGGAAAACGAGTACGTGGACGTAATCGATGCTTCGGGCGACAGGCTCGGCGTAATTGAGGAAGTCTGCATTTCCATTGTTGGGAAAGTAAAGGGCGTGCACGTGCGGGTGTCCCACAAAACTGTTCTGAAGACATTCCTGGATGTGCTGGAGGGAATTCCCCTTGTGGAGGGCCAGGAGCTGGGGCTTCTCATGGAGTCTGAGGCGGTTTCAGAGTCTGCTGCCCGGGACGTTCTTTTCATGTGCCGCGTGGAGAGCATGCGCATGCGGAGCGGGTCTCTTGTGGGAGTAGTTCGCAGAAACACGCAGGTGCTTATAGGTGAGCACAAAGGCGTGACTATCTTGGGGCTTGGAAACGAGCTAAACATAAACTCGCAGTTTGACTTCCAGCAGATGGAGATTGGGGGGCTCAAAAAAGAGTTTGGAGAGATGTTTAGGCGCGCGTTCATACAGAGAATGTACAACCCAGGCTTTATTAAGGACATGGGGATAAACCACATAAAAGGCATTATGCTGTACGGGCCGCCAGGCACAGGAAAGACCCTTATTGCGCGGAAGATGTCGTCCCTTTTGAACTCTGCGCCGCCCAAGATTGTGAACGGGCCTGAAATACTGAACAAGTATGTTGGGCAGAGCGAGGAAAATATTCGAAAATTATTTGAAGACGCGGAGCGGGACTACAAGATGTACGGAGACGAAAGCGCCCTGCACATAATAATATTTGATGAGATCGACGCAATCTGCAAGAGCCGAGGGTCTTCGAACGGGGTTGGCGACCAGGTGGTGAACCAGCTGCTCTCGAAAATAGACGGGGTGGAGTCATTGAACAACATTCTTGTAATAGGGATGACAAACAGGCTGGACTTGATTGACGATGCCTTGCTGCGCCCGGGGCGGTTTGAGATACACATAGAAATATCATTGCCAGACGAGAGCGGGCGGCTGGAAATTCTCAAGATCCACACAAGCAAGATGGAGAAGAACTGCTTTATGAAAAAAGACGTGGATTTGCGAAGCATAGCAAAAAAGGCCAGAAACTACACGGGCGCCGAAATAACAGCGCTTGTAAAGAGTGCGGCTTCGTTTGCCTTGGAAAGGTCTAGAAGCACAAAAACAGATGTAATGATAGATATGGACGATTTCACAAGGGCCCTGGAGGAGACTGTTCCTTCGTTTGGAGTGAGCACGGCTTTGCGCATACCCGAGCCGTTCTACCCGTACCCCTCCGCGCAGAGCGTGCTTGAATTTGGAGACTCGATTGTGGGGAGGCTCCGAAAGGACACGCAGAAAAAGTCGAAGACGCTCTCCTTGCTCCTAACCGGAGGGCCGGGCGTGGGGAAAACCGCGCTTGCTGAAATGATTGCGAAGAGGTCTGAAGTCCCGTTCATTCGCGTTATATCGCCGAAAGACATCGTAGGAAAAGAAGAGAACGAGAAAGTGAACTACATAAAGAAGACCTTTAAGGATGCATATAAGAGCACGGAGTCGCTTGTGGTGCTGGACGACATGGAGGGCCTTATGGACTATGTGGGAATTGGGCCTAGATTTTCCAACCCCATACTGCAGGCTATGAAGCTGTTTGCAAAGAATCAGAGCCGGTACAAGGTCATGGTTATAGGGACAGCCACAGACAAGTCTCTGATGGAGGAGTGCGGAATATTTGGGTCATTTGATGCCCATTTAGAGCTTACAACGCTGACCCCGCAGGACGCCAACTGGCTCACTGCAAACACACCTCTTTCTGTTACCTCAAGCAAAACCATACGAGAAATCATTCAATAAATACAATAGTGCGAAATAGTGTGTGCGTAAACAAGAAATGCAGGGCGCCAGCTGCCATGCCTCTGCAGTATTCCCAGGCTTTCCACGCCTTCTCTTTGGAGCCTGCCCGCTCTCCTAATAGCTGCAAAGGCGCGGAGCCGGCTGGCCTGCTCGTGAAATTTACACTCTCTATACTATTGTGCGTTTATTAATTCGGGGTTATTGACAAGCCGTCTACAAGTATTTTGCCCTCTTCCTGCAGCTCCTCCAGGATGCTCATTAGCGTTTTTTCCGGGACCCTTCCAGTTGCGTTCAGAGCCTCCAAGACCTTCTGCACTGTGCTGCCCTTCCCTATGCACTTCATAATAAGCTCTCTCAGGGCGTCTTCCTCCTTTATGGCGGCCGAAGTTTTCCCCGTGTGCAGCAGCTCCATGTCTATTCTTCCAGTGACAGGGTCAACTGCGTACATGAGAAGCGAGTCCTTTATCACGCGAATTGCCTCTGCCACGTCCTCCTCGTCAACGGTTGCAGACAGCCTCATACGGGCGTGCGCCTCGCTCAGGCGAATCAGACTCTCCAGCTGCCTGGTGGTTGCTGTCACGCTTTTCCCGTTTCCAAGCATGCGCAGCTCCTGGTACTCGAGCGATATTCTGCGGGCAGAAGCCTCTGAAATTTTCGGAGTTATTTTTCTTCCCTCCTGTATGTACTCCTTAAGAACCCGCTCCTCCACCGGCGCCTCCACAGGCTTATCCGTGCCAGCGTATAGCTTTATGATGTGCGTGCTGATTTCTGTGTCTCTCTTGCTGTTGACTGTGTCCAGCAAAAGGCAGACCACGTCAAACCTGCTAAGAAGCGTGGGCGGTATGTCCAAGTTTTCGATTATGTTTTTCTTCGGGTTGTAGCTGCTTTCAATCGGGTTGCAGGCGGCAAGAATCGAGCATCTGGCATTCAGCGTTGTTATAATCCCTGCCTTGGCCACACTCACCGTCTGCTGCTCCATTGCCTCGTGCAGAACACTGCGCGTGCCCTCCCCCATTTTGTCAAACTCGTCAATGCAGCAAACTCCCCCGTCACTTATGACAAGTGCCCCAGACTCCAAAATGTGCTGCCCGCTGTCAACGTCCCTAGAGACGTTCGCGGTCAAACCCACCGCACTCGAACCCTTTCCGGAGGTATACACGCCCCTTTCAATAAGCCTGTGCACCGCCAGAAGCAGCTGACTTTTTGCCACTCCCGGGTCGCCTGCCAGGAGAATGTTTATGTCTCCGCGGAACCTTGCGCCGTTCAAGGACTTTGTTACGCCGCCAAACATCTGCAGCAGCAGGGCCTTTTTTACATCGAGCATCCCGTAGATGGACGGCGCTATGGAGGCGGCCAGCTTTTCGTACAGGTCCTCAGACTTTCTCAGCTCTTCAATTTTGTCCAGCGCTGTGAACTTCTCCTTTGGGTGCGCGAGCTTTCTGTAGCTGACCATTTCTATGTATGTCTTGAAAGAGCTGCGGATTGTTCTATGAATGTAGTTTAGCTTCAATGGGACTGCTCTGTAGACTCCCGTTATCGTAACTTTGTCTCCAGGCACGAGCTTGTCCGTGAGTATGTGGGACGCCAAAACAGTTATTGCGCAGGGCACAAGCCCGTCTGTAACCGCCTCTGGAAGCTCCTGTATTTTTATGACCTGCTTGTCCTGGAAGGTCGAGAGCGCGCTGTTCATTTCCATGGTGAACTTTCCCCCGCAGGCGCAGTCCACAGGCTCGGAAATAACGCCGCGAACAACCTCTGCGCGCGTGACTTCGCTGCACTTTGCGCACGTGTACGCTGCTGTCGTGATGTCCGGCAGTATTCCGCTGGTCTTGGTGACCATTCCTGTTATTTCCACTGTTGTGTCTACGTCCATAGGAAGAAGGTCCCGGATGTTCTTGTGGTTGCCCACATTCGATATAATAACCCGAATGACGGGGGGCGTCGACGGGTACTTTTCCAGGTACAAGTCCGTTATGGCTATTTCCAGCAGGGGAAAGACCTCGACCGGATATGAAAGTATCTCCATGCGCACTTTTTCGTACGGAGTGCCCTTTAAGTCCATGCAATCCAGCGTTATAACGTACTTCTCCAGCTCGTACATTTCTTCTATTCTGTTCATGTACACAGGCACCCCTTCCGCGTTTACATGTGTGCGTATAAACTCCTTAAAGAGGTCTATTGTCTCCTGTATGTTGATTGTCGTCCCCCACACTACACGCATGTTCTCTTGGGTGTATGTTGACTTCATGTCCTCCACTATGTCTGGCGTGTTCTCAGAGTTGTACTGTGTGTGGTGGAATGGCTGGCTGGTGCTTATACTTATCTGGCTGGCATTCTCAAATGAGAACACCGCCGAGTTCTGTGAGTATTCGTCTTCTCTATCCATTCGATTATAAATTTGCACGAATAAAAAATTCATATACACATCCCGCATTAGTACGCCAAAAACAGGAATGGCAATGCGGCTTGAAATTGCGCTTGAAAACTCCTGCTTTCCAGCCGCCCACAAAAGGCTGCCATACTGTCCGCACTTCCCATTCAACAGTTTCCACAGAGTTGCGTATGTTGTGCGCGCCCTCAGGCACTTTCTGCTGCCAGGACAGTCTGTTCATGGGCAATGCTTCTGGCGCGGCTGCACCTGTCGAATAGCAGCATAGAGCCAGCCACATCCATGCCAAAAGCGCAAAAGTGGGCGAAGAAGACGCAGGCGAAAGAGCGCATTTTTGCATGCAGAAATGCAAATTCGCGTGTCGCATGCTGCCTCCCACGCCATTTCAAAAATATGTGCAAACCATGCCAAAGCGCACACTCACTGCGCCATACCCAAATTTCCTAATGTAATTTTATTTTGCTTGTCCCACGCCCTTCTACACTATGAACGGCCTAAGGAGCAGAAGAGACAGAAAGCAGAAGAACACGGCTATGCCACTGAGCCACCTTTTAATAAATAGCATCCGCTTTTTCCTCTTTATAGTCTCCTCTAGCTCTCTTAAATACACCTCGGAGTATTCTACAGAGGCTGTCGTGTACGCTATTCTGTCCAGCTCTTCTTTCTGCATGTTTATAATAGACTCAATGAACTCTGTCTTGTTGTTGAGCCTTTCCATTCTATCGGAGACTTCTGCTATTCTTTCCTCCCTTGTGTCAATGTGCACTATTTCGTCTTCTCTTAGCAGCACCGCCTCTCTCTCCTCCTCCAGGCAGTTTTTTAAGCACACGAGGCACACCTCGTCTGCATTGGTCTCCGTGCTCCATAGGGAGCCAAACTGCTCCTCGAGGGCTGAAAACTCGCTCTGCGCCTGCTCTGGAATTCCGGCGTTCAGCGAAATGATGTTCTTGTTGGCGCTGATAAGGCCTTCAGCGTATGAAAAGAGGTCTTTCCTCCTCTTCCAGCACGGATTCTTCCCTATCCTTATGATCCGGAGCGAGTCTTTCAGTGCGCACTTGTTCCTGTGGAATGCTATTTCCATTCTGTTTACTGCCGTGTGCGTATTAATACACTCTGTAACATAGGTTTGTTTCAGAATGGAAAATATGCAGCGCAGCTGAATACTGGACAATCCATGCCCGCACACGCATGGAATGCTTGGCAAGCACAGCCTATCAGATCTAGCGCGCTTATGCGAGCCCTGGCAGAGTCTGGCCCATAATATTTCCCTTTCATCTAACAAATGCCACCTTATCCTGTGCTTGCCATGCACTTTCATCGCAAAATAGCGCGAGCTTGTAGCATTTCTGGCTTTGCATGCCGAAAGGCTGCTTGTGTATTTTGCTGGAGCACACCCGAAAAAATTTATGAGCTTAGACTGGATGGCGGAAGACGGTGGAAAAGCTGCATTTTTGGAGAGAATAGGCCGAGCAGTGAAGCAGGCCCAGATAGAGAAAGACATGCCTTTGGAGGCGTCCGTGCATGACGAAATATTTGCGCAGATACAGTCCCCGCTGTACCGCGGAAACAGCACTACAGTTGATCTGTTGGGGGTTCTTGCAAGCTCAAAGACAAAAATCCAGTGGATCCTAGAGAGCAAAATAGATCTGCTTGAGAGCGTGGTGATTATTTTGAAGAAGGTCTCTTTTGTGTCGCACGTTCTTCTATTTCGGGTCAAAGAAGTGTGCACAGCTATCCTTAAAAAAAGAAAAGAAAGCACATGCCAGGAAGAAATTGCCTCTCTTCTGCTTTGGATAATGCGCATTGCCAACGAAATTCCAAACGAAGAATACTTCCGAGAAGCAGAAAAGTCCGCTATTTCAGAGCTCAGGCAGATTCTGGGCGTGCAGTGGGAGTACACTGGCGTCCTTGGGCGCACGGTGAAGGAGCAGAGCCTTACACACCCAGTTCTTGTGCTGAGCATAACGTCGCACACCCCTGAGGATCTGGCAGAGTCCCCGCTGCAGGAGATAGAAAGCCGCATTGATTCATCGGACAGGTACTACATATTCCCGCAGGCAAGGGAGGTTAAGTACTGCCTAACGTGCAGCCAGAAGGATCTGCTGTACTTGTGTGCCAAGCACCTGCTTTTGCTTGGAACTCAGACAGCCCGAGGCGAGGCAGGGGCAATTGCGAGGGCGCTTCTCCTGGAGGGGTACACAGGGGACGCGCTTCTTGTATACGCTGAAAGTTTGGAGGGCAGAAATGTAGCCGTGCTCTCCCTCATTGAAAGCGCAATAACCCCAAACATCCCCATGAAAGAGAAAGAGCACGAACTTCTGTGGGCGCGGGCGCTTACTGCAACAGCCTCGCATGTGCAGGCTATTCCTATTTTCGAGAAGTACCACGAGACCGAGGGGCTCATAGCAGCGCTTTTGCTTGCAGGCAAGCGGGACGTTGCCAGGCCGCTGCTCCAGAATAGGCTGGCGAAGCTGATGGATGAGCTAGCTGTGCAGGAGATAGCGTGCGGCACATACTTCGCGGGCACGCAGAAAAAGTGCAGCAGCTCGATACCGCTTCTTAAGATAGAGCTGGCCTCTCTTTCGTACGCATACGGGGTGATGGACCAGAGCATAGAGCACCTTAATATTGCGTTTGGGCTTGTGAAAACGGCTAAGCACGCAAATGCCCTGTGCAAGCAGCTTCTTGTAGCCGGGCGCGCCGAGGAGGCTCTTGCAATCCTGGACGAGTGCAAGTTTGAAGTGCAGGACGTGGAAATTCTTCTGACAACTGCAGTCTCTCTTGCACAGACCGGGAAGTGCAAAGAGGCTGAAAAGCTTCTCAACTACGGGCGAGTGTTCAATCCAAAAAACGAGCGAATAGACATGGCGCTGCACAATGTGCTTCTGAAGCAAGGAAAGTATGAGAAGGGGTTGGACATCCTCCTGGAGAAAGCCAGCACGTACAGCCGAAACATCCCGGGCGACTGCCATCTCCTTTTTAGCCTGGCGATGGAGCTTATACTATATAAATACGCATCCGACGCGATAAAGTGCCTATACAAGAAAACGGGGAAGATGCCTGCGCAGTGGGTAGATGACCTCTATGCAGCAACAGAGAAGTGGGAAGACGCAAAAGAGGCGTTTCTGTCTGCTGTTATCCACGTGAAGACGCTGGTCTTTGTCGAGCGAATACTCAAGATCCTAGAAAACAGTTCGGGGCTTCTGAACACGACTGAGTACTACGCCAGAAAGCGCGTGATCGAATACTGCATACACAAAAGAGAGTATGAGATGGCCCATGAGCATCTGAAGATAATGAAAAGCCTGTCCTGCAAAATAGACCAAGACCAGGACTTTGTTGACGTTGTGTGCGCTTTCTACAAGAGCCAGCAGTGCGGGTAGGTGCGGCTGCGCCCCAACTAAATAAAACATATGTTTGCTCTACTCTGTCGCTAGCGTAGGAAATTATTCAATAAATCGAAGTAGTTCTACTCTGTCGCTGTAAAAAATATAAAATGTACATATTCAAAACCAAACTATGCTATGTATTTTTACCCGAATGACCCGAAAAGACGTACACGTGCAGATCGAAAGAGCGCAAAGCAAAGATGGCACAGTACGCACATGCAACCCATTTCAAAGACACCCATAATTTTCTACATTTCTCCATGCCAGGGTTTATATTGGGCGGCGCGAACACTTTGGATTTTCTGCATTTTTTCCTCTCTTGGAAAACGCGTCTTTTCTGGGCTTATGGCTTTTTTTAAATATTACCGACACATTCTTGACATTGCTTATTACTATGTTTTTAATGACATGCTGGCGGTGCAGGCCCGTGTCTATGCTGCTGCCGGTTTGCATGCTCTCGGTTAAAGCCAAGTTTTCTATAGAGTCAAACTCTTTTCTGTTCGGCTGGCGATGGTGCAGCCCAGTGCCAGAGTGAGCGTCCTGCGAGGTTACCGAATGGATGCGCATAGCCGGCTCTTTTTCCAGGCTCTCATCAGAATCTGTAACAAAAATCGGATCCGTAGCATCCTCGTTGGAATAGTCCGGCACATGGTGCAAGGGCGTGGGCTCGCCTGCTCTGCGCCGCTTAAAGCCTCCAAAAAGCAGGTCCCAGCACTTTGGGCTTATCAGAGTTTTGGTTTTGGAGTGGTACCCTTGGTTGCACTCTTTGAGACAGCAGCTGACATCAGTCCCTAAAGACCCCAGTATAACTCGCACGCAGTTTTGATGGCATCCGGCGTTATTGTTTGTGCATGCCTCGCCGAAGTTCATAAAGTAGTAGATGCCTCCTGTCGGGCTCTGCCTAAACGTAACCAACCTCTTGGACAGATCTCGATGCAGGCCCAGGGCGCCCAGAAGCTTCCCCATGACAGCCTTGGCAACCACTATGCAGGGCGTCGATAGGAGATCTTCGTCCGTATACTTCGCGCTTTTTGGAAACCTTTTCTTTGGCCTTGCATGCAGAACTTTCCAGCCAAGCCCACTATACTCGGGAACGTGCCCAGGCGCCAGCATAGAATTTCTTTGCTGGAAAAGAGGCATTCTAGAGTCTTCTGTCCCTTCAGCAGGCCGAATTGCCGGAAGCCTTCTAGGCTCCTGGAGCCAGCTCAAAAAGAGCACAGACTTGGGAACCAAAAAATAGTTTTCGCTCTTGCGGTACTCCAAAAAAGTGTCTATGTCCGCCACGTTTGCGCCAAGCTGCGTGTCTAGCTTGAAGGGCACCCCCGCCTCCTTGGAGCTGCTTGAGTGTATTGTTTGGAGCAGGCCCGACTTGTACACGTACATGCTTACACACTCTAGCCCTGTGTCTGCTTTTAGCCTTTTGGCTACGTCCCTAACTGCAAGCACGCTTTCCATGTATACTGGCGTGTCTGTCGTAAGCTCATACATGTTCAAAATAACGTGGTGCTTTTGCTTGCCATTTCCGCACGCACTGAGCACAACGTAGGATATCTCATACTTTGCAAAGGCCGCAGACGCCCACTTCTGCACGGCCTGGACAGCGGCTTTGCCTTCTGGCTCGCTTTTAGTGATTATGCAAAAGAACATTTTAATCGGCCGGTTTCCAAGTAAACACTCAAAATAGCAGCAGGCCGGGTTGCCACGGTTTGCCTGCAGCAGGGCAGAAAACTGCCTGTACGTGGGCAGAGAATGGTAGTCTACATAGCCTGCGCACGTGTATACGCACATGTTGCTGTTTGGGTGCGCTGCAATGTGTTCTTGTGCTTTCTTAACAACCACTTCTTTTGTAGGCCTTCCTATCATGAAAAGGCAAAAATGCTATATTTTATATAGTTTTAGCATGATTCCATTTGATCATTTTTGTGAATTTACGCGTCTCTTTCAAAGAAAAAATCACAATGATTTTTCCCACTTCCTGCGCCCAGCCGAAAACAAAAATAGTGTGTGCACGCGAAAGCCAAAAGCACTAAATATTTAAACGTATCTCCATTTATTTGGATTACAGGCCTCTTCCGCCCATTCCCATCTCAATGTATCCGAATATCTTCTTGCTGAAGCCGGCCATGTTTGGAATCGGGAATCCTCCTGCAAGCATGGCGGAGTCAAAGAGCAGAGAAACTGTGCTGTTGAACTCCTCCTTCTTCTCCTCGCCCAGAAGATTCTTCAGCCCAGAGATGATTCCATTTGCAGGGTTGATCTCGAGTATCTTCTTTGTAAGGTATCCAGTGCTGAGAAGCGAGCCTGCGTTGGCATTTGCCTGCGCTCTAAGAATGTTCTCCATGGCTGCAGAGTAGCTGTACTTGCTGCTGGTGATTGAGCAGGGAAGGGCTCCCAGGTTTCCGGAAACAACAACCTTCTCAACCTTCTCTCCGAGCAGACTCTTGATCTGAGCCACTACGTCCTTAAGCTCCTCCTCCTGGGTCTTTACATCTACAGTCTCCTCTGGGAGCTCAAGCCCCTCGGCGGTAATTCTCTGGAAAGGCATGTCGTTGAACTTGTTGAGTGACTGCACAATGAACTCATCGATGGGGTCGTCCATAAGGAGAACCTCGTACTTTGCCATCTTCTCCAGCGCAGGATTTGACTTTACGTCCTCCTCGTTCATTCCGGTGAGAATGTATATCTGCTTCTGGCCCTCTGCCTTTCTGCTGATGTACTCCTCAAGCGAAATGGGCTCTTCGCTCTTTGAAGTCTTGTATCTAAGAAGCTTTGCCAGCTTGGTGGCTACGTCAGAGCTCTCCTGGTACACTCCCATCTTTAAAGACGCGCTGCAGTTCTTGTAGAACTTCATGTAGTTCTCCTTGTCTGCCCCCAGGTCCTTGAGCATGTCTAGCACCTTCTTGGTGATGACTCTCTTGATGAGGTTCATGACAGACTTGCCCTGCACGATCTCTCTGGACACGTTGATGGGGATGTCCTTAGAGCTGATAACTCCGTGCACGAATCCCATCCACTCTGGAATTGCATCAGACAGGTCGTTGCTTACCAGGACGTTTTGCACGTACAGCTTAATATTGCACGGGGCCTTCTTTCCCTTCTCAAACATGTTGAAAGGCTGCCTGTTCTGCACGAAGAGAAGCACCTGGATGTTGAAGTCGCTTTCAATGAACGAGTGGATCACTGCGAAGTGTTTCTCCCAGTCGTTTGTGAGCGCCTTGTAGAACTCTGCATACTCCTCCTCGGTTATTTTCTCCTCCTTTGGGTCTCTTGCCCACAGCGGCATCTGGTTGTTCAGCTTCTTGTACTCCTGCTCATAGTATGTTTCGGTCTCCTCCGCAGGCTCTGCTGCTGCGTCTTCCACTGCGTCCTCGTCCTTCTCCTCTTCCGGCTTCTTCGCAGCCTCCTTGGGCCTTGTCTTCTCGGCAAGGACAAACATGTAGATGGGGTATGCAATGAAAGAAGAGTGCACCTTTACGATGTTTTCCAGCGTCTTTTCCTCCAGGTAGTTCTTGCACTGCTCTGCAATGTGCAGCACAACAGACGTTCCCTGCGGGTGCTCTCCGCTGTATGGGGCCACCACAAAGCCGCCTGGCCCTCTGCTGCTCCAAATGTACGCCTCCTCCTCGCTCTTTCTGGAGATGACGTCCACCTGGTCGGCAACCAGGAATGCAGAGTAGAATCCAAGACCAAACTGCCCAATCAAAGCATCCAAAGAGTCGCCCTTTCCAGAGCCCTCCTGGATTTTCTTCCTGAACTCCTTTGTTCCGCTGGATGCTATGCTTCCCAAGTAGTTGATCATGTCGGCCTTGCTCATTCCAATTCCTGTGTCCACAATGGTTATTGTGCTGTTCTCTTTGTTTGGAATGATCTTAATGGAGAGCTCCTCGTCCACGCTCATCTGGTTTTCGTACATGACCCGCTTTCTCTTGTCGTTGGCGTCAGAGGCATTGGAGATCAGCTCCCGCAGGAAGTAGTCTTTGCTGGAGTATACAGAGTTGATCAGAATGCTCAGAAGACTGTCCATCTGTGCGTCAAACGAGTGGGTCTCCCCCTCGCTTGTTTTTACAACGTTCTCGTCCAGGTGCACGCTTTCGTTCTCGTTCTGGATTGTTGCGTGCTCCTTCTTCACCTCTTCAAAGGCATTCTGTGTCTCTTGGTCAATATCTGTGTGTTTCTCGTTTATGTTCATTGTGTTTTCCATGCACAAAAAAACTCGTGCATATTTATAGTTTTTATGTTCTGGAAATTTCTCTTTTTATTATTTGCCGCATATAGCCAAATAGATTGGAAATCACCCGAGCACGCCTAAAAGCTCTAATTCAAGCCTTTTCCGTTTACTCTACCCAAAAGCGGACAGATGCATGTGTGGCAGAAACGGATCCATAATTGCAAAAGCAGCTACTTTTGCAGTTTGGAAAAAGCGTGGCGCAGAGTAGCAGCTCTACAAGCACTTGCACGCCCAACGCGCGCCTGCATTCGCCCACAGACAGCAGAAGCGCGCAAACTGCAGCACATCGCATGGCTGCGCGCACGAATGCCCCAAAATCGCCGGAAAATTCGAGACATTTTGTGGGGCACCCAAGCACAAATAAAAGAAGTCTGCTGCACAGGATTTGCAAAGACGGCACGGGCGACTCATTTCTGCCCTCATGCGCTGTGGCAGTGAAAGTCGCTGTAATAGCGCGAGAAATATGCCGTGCAAGCGCATCTCTGCGAGAAAAATAAAGAAAAAGCTTCCGGAATTTTTTAGAGGCCAGACAGTTTATCCAATAGGCGCAGATTCAAGGCTTTGCATGCGCTGGAAAAAAAACATCGAAGCCCTGCAGGCCTGCCATGCAGAAAGAAACAAAAACTATGCAAAAATGTCTATTTACGCGCATGCAGCTTCTCTGCGAAAGTCACTGCACGCTGCTTTTAACAACTGTCACCACATTGTTCAGCACTATGTTGAGCACGCATCTGTTTTGCACGTGGTCCAGCCTCCACACGGAGGGAGACTCTATGAGCACGATCGAGTCTTTTTCTAGCACGTGTGCTTCTATTACGTTAGAGCAGACTGCGCACACGATGCTGTCTACCCCGTCTGTTATGGTAATGCATCCAGCCGTGTCCACGGGAGAGTGCTTTATGACGTACCCGCAGATCATGCCAGAGACTTTCAGAGCGTCGCTGGCCTTGATCTCCCCAATGGAAATGTAGTTTACAGAGGGGTTCCTCTGCTTTATGTGCTGCAGCTGTGCTTCTATGCTGGAAATGGGCGCCTGAGAGCACAAGTACGAATGCTCGTCTGCGCCTCCTTTGGGAGAAGGGGCTTCCGGAATGCTCCCTTGGGAGAGCACAACAGACAGCTCAATTTCTTCCAGGTGCAAAGAGCAGCTGCTGGGGTCCTGGGAGGTCGCGGGAGGAGCCGGGACTGGGCCGTCCAGGCTTAGAGACACCTCTTCGAGCGCGTGCGAGATACTGCTTTTCTCGGCCTGGGACTTTCTTTCTAAGTACTCCGCGCGCTCGCGCCTTTTCTCGTCAAAAAACCCCGAAAGATCAAACGCCTGGCTTTCAGGCGCTGGGGCAGCGTCTGCGCCATTTTCAGGGCTGTCTGAGGGGTGCTCTAAGGGCGCCTCTGTCTTAGACCTTTTTCTTGTGGGGGCTTCGTCTGGCTTTCGTTTCAAGTATTCAAGAATATCATCGAACATGAAATTATTTTTTATGCACAATACAAGTATAAAGGGGTATGATATTTCTACTCCCCACGAGCTGTACAAGGCGCAAACGCAGTGCATAGAAACCATCCTCACGTGCCTGGAAAACAGTGAATCCGGAATGATAGAGAGCCCCACCGGAACTGGAAAAACGCTCAGCATACTGGCCTCTGTGAACGCGTGGCTCAACTCCAGCAACAAGCCGGAGGGCCAGAAGGTGTACATCACCACGCGCACAGTCAAGCAGGCTGACCAGCTGATCACGCACATGAAAAGGATGCAAAACCCCCCAACAATGGCGCTGCTCGCCTCCAGGAAGCACATGTGCTTGAACCCCGAGGTAAAGCAGCTAAAGAGCACGGACATAGACACCGAGTGCAAGCGCCGGGTGAAGGACGGCAAAAACACGGGCACCGGGTGCAGCTACTACTTCAAAAACCCCGAGGAGAGGGAGGAGAAGATCCGGAAAATGAGCCGAGAAATGAGCAATCCGTACTCGATTGAAGACCTGGTCAGAACGGGCGAGGGCTGCAAGACGTGTCCGTACTACTACATCCAGGACAAGCAAAAGAATGCAACGGTTATATTTGCGCCCTACAACTACATTATCAACTCTCGCATCCGCAAGGCGATGTCTATAGAGCTGGTCGACTCGGCCATAATCGTGGACGAGGCGCACAACATTGACGACGCGTGCAGGTCAACGGGCTCTGTTGATGTGCGAAGAGACAAGATCGAGTCTATTCTGTCGACGCTGAATGCCGTCCTAAAGGCCTCGAACGTGGACTCGGAGGAGAAAGAGCTGGTGAGGTGGCTGATAATATTCCTCAGCAAGATACAGGCGTACATACTGGAGAAGATCCCGGAGATTTTGAAGAGCCTGCCCGCGGACTGCATTGTAGAGAACATGGATGGAGAAAAAGAAGGCTCCATCCCGCAGGAGAGGTTTATGCAGGAGATGGAGGCGTTTGGGATGACGGCGGAAAATCTGGACAGCCTGAACAACTGCGTTGGAAGCTTGGTTGAGGAGCTGGAGCTGGACACATACACAAAGCAGTGGCTGGAGCAGATGGTGCAGGTTTTTAGGATGATAATCGAGAAGGGCAAGAAAAACTATTGCATGCTTGTCTCGAAGGGAAAAATATCGTTTATACTGCTGCGCGCTGCCATTATATTCGACGAGATATACAGAAAGTCCAGGTGCGTGGTTCTGCTCTCGGGCACGCTGCAGCCCTTCCGAGAGCTTACAACAGAGCTGTCCACCGAAAAAAACGCGTTCAACCACTTCCTGGTGACAGACCACATCATAAAGGCGTCGCAGCTGTATACAGCGACAATTTCAACATACAAAAAGGCCAGCACCATGGGGGTGTTCAAAAACACCAGAGACAGGCTGTATTTGGACGCAGTTTCCTCTGCCATCATAGACATAACGCAGTCCCTGGACGGAATAGGGGGGGTGCTGTGCTTTGTCCCAAGCTACGTTCTTCTGAACTCGCTCAAGAGCTTGGTTGAGAAGCACGTCATGCTCATAACGGAGTCCAAGCTCAACAGCGAGTTTGAGTGCGACCTGGAGAGGTACAGAAACATCTGCAGGCGGGGAAAGTGCGTCTTCCTGTGCGTCTTCCGAGGCAAAGCCAGCGAGGGAATCGACTTTCGAGACCACGAGTCGCGCGCTGTTGTTTTGGTGGGGATTCCTTACCCAAGCATCAGAAACCACGCGATCATAGAGAAGAAGAAGTACAACGACACATACATGCAGAGAACAGGCGCGCTGTGGTACGAGCAACAGGCCTTTAGGGCGGTCAAGCAGGCGCTGGGCAGGTGCATCCGGCACAAAGGCGACTGGGGGTCGATATTTCTGCTGGACTCAAGATACGAGAGGGCAAGCATGCTGAGCAAGCTCCCGAAGTGGGCAATCAACGGGCACATGGCGCTGGAGAGCAAGGAGAGGCTGGTGGAGAAGTATAGGCCTTTCCTAGAGCAGCAGGACAAGTCAACCACAGAAAGGCCGCCAGGCCCCAGCACAAGCGCATACCTGCAAAAGAGAAAGTACATGCACGCTGGGTCCTCCAACAAGAAATGGGCGTGAAAGAGACAAAGCGCGCAAAGGCACCCGCAGAGCAGCAGAGTATAAATACAGCACGGCAGCAAGGGCGCAGGCTGAAAGCCCGCAATAGAGCTGCTCTCTTAAATATAATGTTAACGCGCATTTGTGTTTATTTTGCAGCTGCAAGCTTGGCAAAGCCAGCGAGCACGGTTTTATTTTCTGGGCTTTTTGGGCGGTGCTGCGTGCCTATTTCAATGCTTGGGGCTGAGTGCCGTGCACCTTCAAAACGGGTCCACGAGCTTTATTTCTCCCGGGCGGTGCCAAAGTGCAACCAAATCTGCTTCTATGGGCATGCCCAGACTCTCCGCGGCAGACACTTTATTAAAGCAAGCAGAAATGCGCCTTTCTGCGCTGTGCCTGCCCGATCTTTACGTACATGTATGCCTGCGCCTACTCCTGCAGGTAGCTTCCAATCCCAGGAATTCTTTCCTGGTCCACGTCCACGCCCTCGACGTCGCTTGGCTGGCTGTCAGCCGTGGGCCTGGGCCGGATCCAAAACTTAACGGTGTTATCGACCGAGCTTGTAGCAAGCGTGTGCCCAATCGGGTGAAAGTCCATGGACCATATCGTTTTAGCGTGGGCGTCCGGTATCACGCGCACCGGGTACTCGCTGTGCTTTTGCCATATATACACAGAGCCTTCGCCGCCTCCAGACACAAAGAGGCTGTCCAGGCACGGATGCACGCACAGCGCAGTTGCCTCTTTCTGGTGGCCTTTATGCGTGAACTCCTCCTTCATTGCGCGCAGGTTAAACATTTTAATGACCTGGTCCTTTCCCCCGGATAGAATGCACTCTCCGTCGTTTGTCCACTTCAAGCACAGAACCGTGTTTTTGTGGATGTGCAGCGTGGTCAGCTCTTTCCCGCGGGGGTCCCAGAGCTTGACCAAATTGTCCTTTCCCCCGCTTGCAATGAGCGCATGCCTTTTGTGCCACTGCCCCACGCGCACGTCCCACCCGTGCCCGGTAAGGCTTCTCTCCTCCTTTGCGGTCTGGAAATCGAACACTTTGATCGCCCCGTCGTCCGAGGCGGTGCAGAACTTGCTGCCCCTGGGGGAAAAGCTTATGTCTCGGACTGCCTCTTTGTGGGCCTCTATCAGCTGCAGGTTGTTCATTGACGGCTGCCAATACTTCACCACGCCGATCTGGTCGCCGGACACCAAATAGTCGCCGTGCGGAGTCCAGCAGAGCGACCGGAGCGCGCTGTCGTGGGCCTGCAGGATTGTTTCAAAGTTGAAGCTGAACCCGTTCCACAGCGTGAACTCGCCGGTTGCTGCTCCGGAAATGAGGCGCCTTCCGTTCGGGGCGTAGCGAATCGTGTTTATGGGCGTGCGTATTTTGTTTATGCTGGTGTGCGCGAGGTTGACGGTCAGGCTGTTCGAGAGCGAGCAGGAGCCAGTAACGGGCGGAACATAAATCGAGTAAAGAGGGTGCTTCTGGACGGCCCCAAATCTCCCCTCTAGATTATGCTTGAGAAGAGGCCCGTTGTAATCTACGTTTCTTCTGGCAATTGCTTTTCTCATTCTCTTTCCGTCGTACACAACTCTCTGGCCTCTTCCATCGTCGTCTTCCATTCGGGGCTGGAAATTTAAATTTAAATAAAAGCCAGCGACATAAAATTTTAGATGTCGCTCAGAAAACAGCAGCAAGAAATACAAAAACACAAAGAGATAAAAGACTCTTACGATCAGAAGAAAGGCAAATATGACATACTGAATACGTCAAGAAAGGGAGAGTTGGTGGCTGACGGGGTGGTAAGCACCGCCGACATAATGCATATGGCGGACATAGGGACGCGCGAAAAAGTGTTCAGCTTGAAAATGGAAAACGGGCCGTACAAAGTGCGGTACTCGCCCTCTGGGGACACGGCGCTGTATATGGGCCAGGAGGAGGTGAAGTCTGTGAACATGATGGGGCTGACCGCGAATGCGGAGGTGCACCTGGGGGACAGAATATACGACGGAACATTCCTGCACTCTGGCGCGTTCTATGCGCTCGCACAGTCCAAGGCAGTGTACATATATGACAAAACGGGCGTGGAGGTGCACGTTATGAGAAACGCCCGAAAAGTGCAGAGCATAAAGTTCCTGCAGGACCACTTTCTGCTTGCAACCGTCTCGCAAAACGGGTACCTGAACTACCAGGACACGACGATAGGAAAGCACATTTCTGAAATCAAAACAAGAGAGCGAGAGCCCACGATGGAGGTTGACCGGACGAACGGAGTGGTGTACCTCACGGGAAGCTCGGGAACGGTCTCATTGTGGTCGCCCCGGTCCCCGGAGTACCTGTCAAAGGTTCTCTGCCACCGCTCGAGAGTGAGCCACTGCAAGATCAGCGATGACGGGCGAGCCATGTACACGGCGTCCAAGAACGAGCTCAAAAAGTGGGACATTCGAAACATGTTTTCGCCGATGGAGGAGACAACGATGCCCTCCCTAATCTCGGAGATGGCCCTGAGTCAAACCGGGAAGCTTGCAGTCGCGCAGAGATCGCACGTGCTCGTGCACAACCAGTATCTGGCCCCCGAAATACAGCACTACACGGGCAGAGAGATGGCCGCGTCTCTGGCATACATGCCGTACGAAGACGTGCTCACGCTCGGCACCGGGGCTGGCATAGAGAACGTGATCATCCCAGGGGCAGGGCTGGAGGTGTACAGAAGACACGAAACCCCAAGGGCCTCAAAGAAGGACCGGCAGGACATGGAGGTGCGCCGGATACTTGAGAAGATCCCTGCAGACATGATATCCCTCGACAACGAGACCGGAACCGAGATGAAGGAGCTGTTCAAGGAGGAGATCACCCCGATGAAGTTTGAAACCCCCGCAGGAAAGGTCCGGCGAATGATGAAAATGAACTACGGCTAGGCGCAGCCCGGCACACGCATAAAAATAAACCAAATATTAATAGACCTGCACAGAGAGTATAAGAGTATAGGCCCGCGGCACGCCCCCTGCGACCAAATATTTATTTATATGTGCTCCTCCTCGGGGCGCATTGCCGGCTTGTACACGACCATGTGCCCAACGCACAGCAGAATAGAAAGAGTAATTGTAAAGAAGAGAGAGACAAGCGAATTTGGCATGAAAATAAAGAAGAGAAGAGGCACTCCCAGGGCCACTGCGTACGCATACATCTTCGGGTATACATTCCCCAGCACGCTCACGGTGTCGCTGGGGTTTTCCATCGCCACGTACAGCACGCCAAAGCACATCCCTATAGGCAGAATGAAAATAGGGTGGATAACCAGAAACAGACACAGCAAAACCCCGCACACGCTCAAGTAGTTGCCCCCCATGTTTCCGTAGTTTATCACAATCCTAGACTTCCCCTCCTCCAAGTTCACGGGCATGGAAGCACACGAGTAGTCCAGAAAGTCCTTCAAAGGAACCCGCTTCTCTATTTTATCCCGCACGTAGAAGCCCACCTCGCTGTATATCTTGCTCTGCATGCTGAAAAACAAAATGCCAAATATTAAAGGATATTATTGCACGCGTGAAACACAGTAGCAAGCCCCCAAGGCCGCAGCAGAAAAAGTCGCCCCTTGCAGCGCTCACTGCGCGCTTGAAATCTCTTTTATGTGCGCAGACACAAGGTCTTTCCAGAAGGCCATGTCCAGCAGATCCTCGCTGCCCTCTTCTGCGCGCTCCCCGAATATTGCATTTTGCACAAACCCGTACTCCTTCATAACCCCAGAAAAGACTTTGTCCGTGGCCGTGCTGCTGAGCCCGTAGTGCACCCCGCCTGTTTTCTGGTCGCACACGAGATAGTGCGCCAGCCGGTACTTTCCGTGCCTGTTGTAGTACATAAACCGAAACATTTTGGGCACTTCCCGCGTCCGGTCAATGACCACGTCAAACTTCGACTCGTGGAAAATGTCAGAGCCGCCCACATACTCCTGCCCGTCCTCCACCGCGCCCTCCAGGTCCTCAATAATAAACAGCTCGCCAGAGGCCGGAGATATCTCAAGAATAGGCTCAAAGTTGGAAAATGACAGCCTCCCGTCGATTTTCTGGAAAAGCTCCAGAACTGCAGTCGTGCTCAGCGGAGTGCTGCTTCTGGTCAGCTGAAATGCGCGCATGAAAAAATAAACACGGACGAATAAATACGCGCGCGTGCAGAAAAGGCCTTTGGGAGACACCTTATGGAGGGCTTGTAGCTCAGTGGTAGAGCATTCGACTGCAGATCGGAATGTCCCGGGTTCAAATCCCGGCGAGCCCTTTTTCTTTTTTATGCAAGAACACACTTGGGGACGCGCAGCGAGCTGCTTCCAGAGCATTGAGGACACGCCCTCCAGGAAGGAAATGACCTGGAGGCTTGCCCTGTATTTTTCAGAGCTTCCTGCAAAAGAGCTCACGCAGGCGGTGTATCTCTCCATTGCGAGGGTCTCTTCAGAGTCGAACGGGCTGGAAATGAACGTGGGCGAAAACAGCCTCCTAAAGGCGCTCAGCAGATTCAGCACCACCTCCACAGAGGCGCTCAGAAAAAAGATGCAGGCCTCCGGGGACATTTCAACCGTGGTTTCGGCAGGGAAAAGGCCGAGGCTCTTTTTTGCAAAAAGAAAGACGCTTACCCTCGAGGCAGTTTTTGAGACCCTCGAGCGGATTTCGAAAATGGCAGGGAAAGACTCAACCCTCAAAAAAATAGAAATAATTGCCGAGCTCCTGGCACAGTGCACGGAAAACGCAGAAGTTAAATACGTCGTCAGAGCCCTCGACGGAAAGATGAAAATAGGCCTCTCAACACAGACAGTTCTGTGCAGTCTGGCGCTCGCTTTCCTCGCAAAGCACACGCCGAACGGGAAGAACGCACTCGCCAGCAGGAAAGCGCGCAGCGAAAAAGCTGCTGCGGAAGAAAGCGGAAAGCTGCTGAAAAGCGGGGACTCAGAGCCTGCGGACACCAGCAGCATAGAGTGGTCGCTGGAGGAGATAGCGGCGATGGAGGAGATGAAAGAGGCGTACGCGCAGCTGCCCTCCTTCGAGAAGATCATACGCCTGGTGGACGAAAAGGGCTTGTCTTCGCTGAAGGAGTCGCTGATCACGCCGGGGTACCCGCTCCGGCCGATGCTCGCAATCGCAGAGAAGGACCCGGAGACGGCAGCCTCGAGGTTCAGCGGAAAATACCTGGTTGAGTACAAGTACGACGGGGAGAGGGTGCAGGCGCACTTCTTTGGCGGAAAGGTCGAGCTCTTCAGCAGAGGCCTGGAAAACACAACGGAGAGGTTTCGCTCCCTGGTGGAGCCCCTGGTGCGCGCAAACATCACGCAGGCAGACTTCATACTTGACGCAGAGGTCGTTGCATACTGCAGAAAGGCCGGAAAAATACTTTCGTTCCAGACGCTTTCAAACAGGAAGCGGAAGCTCACGGAAAGCAACGCGGACAAAGAGGAGAGCGAAATTGCGCTTTTTGTCTTTGACCTCATATACCTCGGCGGCCCGCTCAGCAAGCTGCCCCTCCCGGAGAGAAAGCAGATGCTTGCAAAGTCGTTCCGGGAGACTGCGGGCGAGATAGAAGTCGCGCGCAGCTACGCCTTTGAGGAGCACAGCCCCGAGCGCCTGAGCGAAATATTCGCAGAGTCCATTGCCGCGGGGTGCGAGGGCGTTATGATAAAAAGCGCAGACCCGGAGTCCACGTACGAGCCCTCGAAGAGAAGCCAGAAGTGGGTTAAGCTGAAGTCCGACTACGTCGCAGGCCTGCACGAAACCATGGACCTGCTCGTTATTGGAGGGTACTTGGGAAAGGGCAAGCGCACGGGCGTGTACGGGGGATTTCTCCTGGGGTGTGTGAATGCGCTGGGAGACGTTGAAGCGCTCACAAAGATCGGCACCGGGTTCAGCGAGTCTGTCCTCGAGGAAATCGCCCGGGCTCTTCAGCCGCACGTGACAGAGACGGCGCAGGCGAGCACCGGCGCAGGAAATGCCCCGGATGTTTGGTTTAAGCCTGTTTTGGTCTGGGAGGTTGCAGCTGCTGGGTTTTCCATATCCCCGCTGTACACGGCAGGCCTGGGGGCGCCAGAGCTTCCAGAGGGCAGGGGAATTTCGCTGCGGTTCCCCAGGTTTGTGCGCGCGAGAGCCGACAAGACTTTGGAGACGTCTACAACATGCGAGCAGATTCTGCACATGTTCAAGCAAACTCAGGGCAGCTAGGCCCGAGGCGAGAAGGCCCGGGCGCTGAATAAACATGCACTTTGCCTGCACTTCAGAGCCTTTTCTGGGATTTTGGCGCTTTTGCTGCGCTGCCCATGCGCGCGTTTTGCGTGCGAACTGCGGGCATTCTGGCACTTCTATCTGCTTGCCTTGCATATTTTCATTACATATAGTAGTATTTTGTTTTGCAAAATATGGATTCCAGTTCTGGCATGGCCTCGTTTGGAGCAAACACCACGGAGAATGTGGAACGGATAATTTCGCAAATTAAGTCGCAGGAATACACGTACACAAGATGCACTTTCACATCTGCGCCTACGAAGAAGGCAGACCTAAAAAAGACAAAGATCCCTTTTATTGTTTCTGCGACCATTCTTCCTTTGCACGAGCAGCCAGCGAAGAGAGTTGAAGCAATTCCAAGATGCACAAACTGCAGGGCGTATTTGAGCATGTACTGCGAGGTCATTCCCCCCGGGTACAAGTGGAGGTGTGCTCTCTGCAGATGCACAAACGACTCGCAGCGGCCCCTCCACTCGTACGGAGGGTCTTTGCGCGTGTTCAGCCCGTCAGAAAACGCAGAAAACAACAAGAGGGTCAGCAACAACCCCGTGCTCACGGAGAGCATACTCGAGTTTGTCTCGCCCTCAGAGAAGGCCACGCCGCCGGCTGCCTTTATGGTGTTTATTGTGGAGTGCACGCCTGAAAGCGTCGAGAAGGGCACGTTCAGCACGGTCCTGCGGCAAATAGTGGGCGCGCTGGAATATCTGAACGATCCGCACGAGAGAGCCCGCATGTGCATTATGCTGGTTTCGTCGACTGTTGAGATAGTTCGCCTGTGCGGGGAGACTTTGGAGGTTGACCGAATCAACGAAGTGGAGGGGGCGCTTCCCATGATCTTGGAGGAGGAGTACACAGCGAAGGTGCACGAAATCAGAGAGCGCCTGCAGGAAAAAGTTGGCCAAATAGAAGAGTATATTCTGGGGGCGCCGCGAGAGCATGGAAACAACTTTGGCCTGGCCTTGAAAGTTCTGAAGAGAATGTCTAACCGGCGGGCCGAGGTGTTTGGGTTTCTGGCCACGCCGCCGTCAGTGAAGGCTGGGGCCATAAATAAGCCCACGCCTGGGCTGCGGCCAAACAACACGTTTTACGAGAACATGGCGATGAGCCTGCTGGAGGAAAACATTTCGGTAAACCTCTACATCCTCTCGGCAAAGACGGTTGAGGTGCCCACCCTGATGCCTCTTGTGGAGAAGACTGGGGGGTACATTCGATACTACCCGGCGTTTATAGGGCATTACTCGCCCGATAAAGAGGCGCTCCGGTGGGACCTGATCCAGCACTTCTCCTTGGACAACGGGAACAACGCGTACTGCAGAGTCCGCGCTTCAAACGAGGTATCCATCCGGAAATACTGGGGAGTGGACGTGCAGAACGACGGGCTGATCAAGCTGGCCCGGCTCTCTCGGGGGAAAACAATTTCCTTTGAAATCGAGTACGACCAGGACCTTGTTTTGGAAGGCCTCACAATACAGATAGCCACTATATATACGAACTCGGGCGGAGAGCGGGTTGTGCGCATTCTCAACTTCTCTGTTGATTTGGGCCCGGTCTCTATAGACATTCTGGGAATTGTGCACGGGATAGCCCTGAAGGCGCTTGACGCGGAGATCGCGCAGAAAGGCCAGGGCATAAAGACGGCCTTGGCCATGGGCACCAGCACAATTGAGTTCGCAGGTATAGTAGGAGCCATGGCGGCGTTCCCCATCTTTATGCACGCCCTTGTTAAAAACAAAGTGTTCAAGAACGTTTCGCCAGACCTGCGCGGGCTTATGTATCTGACTTTTTTGGAGGCGCCTATGAAGACGGTGGACGCGCTGATATACCCTACTCTTGTTAGAATTGGCATGGAAGGCTACGAGGGCGCCTCGGACGTGGTTTTGCCCACGCCTGTCAGGCTGTCGTGCAGCAGCATCACAGCAGACGGCATATACTACTTAGACAGCGGTATAATTGTCTACATATTTATAGGAAATAACGTAGAGTGTAATATGCTGGCAGAGGTCCAGGGGCGCACGGTCATCAGCCCAGAAGACAAAGACTCGGAGCCCATCAGAAACGCCATGGACTACCTTGTGGACGGAAGAGTGGCGGACCCTGTCACATACATAGTCCACCAGGAGGGATACTCTTTCCTTCTGGAGGGCATGCAATCCATGCTGCTGGACGACGGAGCATCCCCTGTCTCGTCAAACTACCAGGAGTACTACAACAGATTCTTGGCGAAGGGATACATAAAGTAGAAGTGCAGTGGAATGAATAAATAAATGCACAGTTGCAGGTGTATGCGGGCGTTGGTGCAGTGCACGGTTTTCTATGCGCGGAGGCTTTTGCGCAGCGGCACGAACTGCCACATTTACGCTTTTTCTGGATATTTGTTTTTGCAATTTTACATCCGGTTATATGGATAAAGTGAGAAGGTATACGAAAGAGGCTAAAGTAGGAGAGGGGACGTATGCTGTTATATATTCCGGAAAGGAGTATTTGGTATCGCCAACGGATGCATCTTCTGACGTGATAACCGAGACGCCTCCTGCAAACGCGCTCCCAGGGAGGCAGGTCGCCATAAAGCGCATCAAGAAAGATCCAAACCAGCTTGACATAGACATGGCGACCCTGAGGGAGATAAAGCTTCTGAAGTATCTAAAGTCCGAGTACATAATAGACCTGTACGATATAGTTGTTCAAGACAAACACATACACATAGTGCTCCCGTACATGGAGAGCAACCTCGAGGTGATAATACGCAGCAAGAACATAATACTTATGCCGCAGGACGTAAAGTCCTGGATGCTGATGATATGCAAGGGCGTGCACGAGTGCCACTCGAGGTTTGTTATACACCGAGACATAAAGCCAAACAACATTCTTGTGGGGAAAGACGGGTCTTTGAAGATCGCCGACTTTGGTATATCCGTGGACATTGGATTCCCACTCCGCGCGCTTACCCCGAACGTTGTAACGCGCTGGTACAAAGCGCCAGAAATACTTCTGGGCTGCTCAAACTACACCTTCGCCATCGACATATGGGCGCTTGGGTGCATGTTCGCCGAGATGCTCCAAAGAACCCCGTACCTCCCCGGGAAGTCAGACGCCCACCAGCTGGAGCTGATATACCAGGCCGTGGGAACGCCTTCGGAGGAGGAGTGGGCGGAAATAGGGCACAAGACAGAGGGCATATCGCCCCCACAGCACATTCCCAGAAGCAACTTTGACGCTGCCTTCCGAGCAGCAGGCACCGACGCAATAGACCTTCTGAATAGGATGCTGGTCTACGTTCCCCACAAGAGAATAACAATAGAGGAGATACTTGCACACCCGTATTTCACAAACTCGCCTCCGCCCACTGCGCCCAGCCAGCTCCCATTTGACGCGTTGCCGCACAACTAGATATACCCAGTAAATGCGCAAGTTCAGCGGTATGCCTCTGCGCAGATGATATGCCTGTGCGCTTTGGGCAGCTGCTCGCAAGATGTAAGTTTTCTTTGCTGGCGACCGGGCGGAGTTTTTGCGTGGGGCGCCCACTCTTTGTATATAAATGCATCTGCCAGAATTTTTTTAATGGATGAAAGAGCGCAGCTCATACCAGCAGCAAAACTAATATCGCACTTGGCTCTGATAGACAAGGAAGAGAAGATAGACAAGAAGAGCATTGCGATACTTTCACAGTTCACAGAGAAATACATAAGTGATATACTGACACGGTCCGCCCTTCTCGCCAAGCACAAAGGAAGCCAAGTCGTGACGGGCGCAGAGGTTAAGTTTATACTCGAAAAGGAGTTTGACTGCTTCATTGCAACAGGAAACTAAGAAATGTACAGTGAAGATGCAGCGCGTTAAGAACCCGCAGCGCCCAAGCCGTTCGGCGCTTGAAATAAACGACCGCTTATTTATTTATGCGTATTGCAGAGCTAGAAGCCCAGAGTAAGAGGCAGTTTTTGGTTTGTCGAGCCCAACTCTAAAGCGCCGCTGGAGGGAAAAGCCGCTTCAGAAGCTTTTGTTTTGGCGCAGCCGCGGGAGAGTTTCAGCCCAAACGGATGTGCTAGACTTTGTGAAGCAGCTTGCTTTTCCTGCCCACGGCTCAGAAGGACTGTGCCCACGCTACAGCACAAAGAGCAGAGTTAAGCACACTATAGCATCTGCCAGGACGGGGGCTCTTTTATGTCTGATAGCCCCTTCAGCACACTGGATTTTGTAACTGCGCCTCCCAGCGCCCGCTGCTATAGCACGCTTAACTCTGCTATTCTGCGGGCTTGCTATTGATTTCCTGCAGCATATGCAGCGGCTGTGAGCACGCCCATTGCTATACTTGCGCCAATGGGATTGCTATTAGAAGTTGAGTCGCTTAGCACGGGCTGGGGCTTCTTTTTCAACGCCTTCTCTTCGCGGCATGTTTTGTTGCACAGGTTAGTATAATGCATTTGAATCAAGTTCTGGGTCCTTCTGTTCATTTCGATCTGTTTAGTCATCACAGCAGAGATGTTGTATACTTCAACCAAAAAGTAATAAATATCCAGCGGCTTTCCAGGAGCCTTTTCTATGCTCACATTCGGGTTATTTCTTGGAGCATAATCTAGCATATTTAATAACGTTTCCAGCCGACTCAGATCTGTGCGCAAACTACTTTCTGGGTTATTCAAAACGTAATCCATGCTTTCCTGGATGCTTTCTTCCGAGCTATTTGAAAGAAGCAGCTGGCTTGACGCGTGGTTCTGGTTTTCTCTGCAGTCTCCACTAATCGTGCAAGTTCGAAGGACGTCAATAATGGAAGAGTCTTCTAGACGCATGGCAGAGTTATCGAGACGTATTAAGTTTGTGGGGTCTTTCTCACCAGAATATGCCCTTTCGAAGGCTTTACTTATGTCGCTGAATGCTTTTATCAGGCCGTCTAACGAGTAGCACTGCGCTCTGAGCTGAACCGCAAGAGTCTTATAGGATATTTCAGTGGTTCCGTCTATAATCATATTTCTTATTTCCGTATATCTATAAAAGGCAAAAGAAATGGTGTTAAAAACTTCCTCTCGCAACGCGTCGTACAGAATGGCCCCTGTTACTAGGCAATCCATCTTTTCTTGCTCGGTCATGTGGTTGGAACCTGCCGCTTCTATACAGAACTTTGTTAGCATTCTGTTTAGATTTTCGTGGTATTTTATGATTTCATTGTGCCTTTCTGTTTCCTCAGTGTGTAGTGTATATATTTCGGACTCGTTCATATTGGTTAAAAAGTCGTTTATATATACCTCTTGGTATTTGGGGACAATGCTGGGTAGCGGTTTGTTGTAGATCTCGCTGGAAAGGCTGCATCCAAGTTGCGATATTTCCTGGTTATGGTTATATTTCATATTGCTGACTCTGGAAAAGGCACAGTCAAACCCGCTGCTCCCAGTTCCCATTGCATTTCTCATGGCACGTCCGTTTAGAATCTGATACGATAACTGCGTTTTTTCCATGCCATTAACATTTGAGTATTTTGTTTCGTATATGTGGGCAGCTTTCTCCATAGGTTGAGTTTGCAAACATGTATCCAGAAAACTTATCTCTCCTCGGCCTAAGACTTTTGCACATATATATCTGCTTTTGGTCGCACCGGCCAAAACAAGTATAGAGACAACTATCAATGAAATTACAAGAATGAAGGGCCTGTATATATTCATGCGGCTGAATTTCTAAATTCTATTTATACTTTTGTTAGATGATAACTGATTTTGCGATTTGCAGCAAATCATTGGCTATCGCCACATTTAGATCTGTGCATGGCATACTTTGACAGTGTGTGACTTATGCCTGGGCGCGCAAGCACGCAAGTGCGTTCGAGGGCTTTCTCTGCTGTGCTGGTTGAGCAAGGCAGCCGAATGCTTGGCGCTTTTGCACATACTGCGCCCGAATAGCTCTGAGTAGAAGGCCAGCGCATAAATATTCTTTCTTTCTCTTTTTTTATGCTTACAATAATATGCAACCACAGCAAAAGACACCACATACTGGCGTTTGTGCTTGCAAAGATATTCAAGGGCGTAGAGTCGGTGTACTCCAACGAGGACGAGGAAGGGTTTTTCAACTATAGCTCGTTGGGCGACCTTCTGGAGCGCATCCCTGAGTTTTCAGTTGATTCTATGGAGTATCTTGGAACCTGGAAAGTGGGCATGGCATATGCTGAAGTAATTGAAAAGGCGAAGTTTCTGGAGGAAACCAACCTGGGCGCCCTTCAGAAAACGCAGAAAATTCTTCTGTTTTTCCTGCTGTACTCTGAGATGATATTCGTAAACCTTTTGAAGTCTAAGAAGCTGAAAGACATGCCCAACGTAAGCGCGTTCTATGCGGAGCAGCTAAAAGAGGCCAGCGAGCTTATCAAGGCGTACGACAGGCAGAAGAAGCAGGACACAAAGCCTGAAGACCAGGCGTCCTTCGACATTGGCCTGCCTGCTGGATACAAAGTTGTCACGCGGTTCCCGCCAGAGCCAAGCGGCTACATGCACATAGGCCATGCGAAGGCTGCTCTGCTGAACCAGTACTTCGCAGAAACGTACAACGGAAGCATGATTGTGCGAATGGACGACACCAACCCGTCGAAGGAGAAGGAGGAGTACGAGAGAACGATCATGGAGGACATATCCATGCTGGGAATAACCGAGTACAAAACAACCCGAACAAGCGACCACTTCGGGCGGCTTTTTGAGCTTGCAAAAGAGATGATACGCAGCGGGCTGGCATACTGCGACAATACCCCAGTTGAGCAGATGCGAATGGAAAGAGACAAGGGAATACCCTCGGCAAACAGAAACACGTCCCCGGAGACAAATTTGGAGATATTCAACAAAATGGCCACAACTGCCGAGGGCGACGCCTTCTGCCTGCGCGCCAAGATCGATATGGAAAACCTGAACAAGGCCATGCGAGACCCTGTCATCTACAGAGTCAACCTGATCCCGCACCACTACACAGGCACAACGTACAGAGTCTACCCAACGTACGACTTCGCCTGCCCGGTGGTGGACAGTCTCGAGGGAATCACCCTGGCCTTGAGAACAAGCGAGTACAGGGACAGGAATGCGCAGTACATGTGGTTTATATCCGCGCTCAAGCTCGACAACAGGCCAATTATTTGGGACTTTTCCAGGCTGAACTTCAAAAAAACCGTGCTGAGCAAAAGGAATCTGAAAGAGCTCGTGGAGAACCATTTGGTCACAGGGTGGAACGACCCGCGCATGCCCACAATTCGGGGAATCACGCGAAAAGGCCTTACAAAACAGGCCCTGAAGGAGTACGTTATTATGCAGGGCCCTTCCAAGAACACGGTCTTCCTGGAGTGGGACAAGCTCTGGTCCATCAACGCGAAAATAGTGGAAAAAACAGCCCGAAAGATTCACGGCGTCGGAAAAGGCGAAATGGCAGAATTGCACATTGTGGCTGACACTGCGCTGCTGAGCAAAGCAGCGGCCAGAAAGGTGACTGAGACCGTCTATGTGGCGGGAGCAGACGTGCAGCGCATGCGTGCAGGGGACACGCTCACTCTCATGGGGCTTGGAACTTTCATAGTTTCGCAGGAGGCTCCGCTTTCTGTGAAGCCGCACGACGTACCTCCAAAGGAGACGAAGGCCCGGCTCACGTGGATACCGTGCGAGACCGTTGAGGCCCGCGCGTTCGAGTATGGAGATCTGATCACCGTGGACAAGATGGATGAAAGGCCCATAACTGAGGTTTTTAACAGTAACTCCGTGGCAGAAAAGACTCTGCTCTGTGACGAAAGAGCTTTGCTCGCTAAGCAGGGAGACTTCGTGCAGATTGAGAAGATGGGAATATACATTGTGGACTCCCTGCAGCCGCTCGTTCTGAACCTGGTCCCAGCGACAAAGCAGCAGAACAGGAAAAAACCCGCCCAGACAGATGCTGGGCCTGCAAAGAGCAGCGAAGTGCCCAGGAAGGGCAAGTAGGCATGCTGTGCACTGATATATCCAGCAGAAATAGAGCGTGCTTGCTATGAATAAATTGCCCCTGGCTTTTCATAACAACCCAACGCCAGCCCGTGCTTTGGGCTGGGTTTTCTGTGAATTTTCTGCGAATTTTCTGCGAATTTGTTTATTTTCGGGCGGAATATTCACGTGTATGCGCAGCGCATTTATGCGGATACTTTTTGTTTTATATTTTATTTAAATGGCAGAAGGAAGAGAGCTCGAATTGCTTATTTCCCACCTTAGAAATGTGCCTATCAGTGAAGAGCCGGATAAGTACACAGACATGCTGGAAAGCATACGATCACACCCGCACAAGGCAGAGATAATAGATAGTGTTCTTAGGAATGTAGACAACAACACGGTGTTTCTTAGCGTGATTCCCGCGTACCTGAGGAGTGAAGCCTCGGATGCAAGCCCTTCTATTCTACTAAAAATAATAGAGAAAAGCCGGAGCGTGTGCATAGAGTCGCAGTGCAACTTCGACATGCTGTGCCCTCTTTTGTTTGCGTGCCTCTCTGAGAGAAAGCTGCTAATAGAGGTTAAGAGCGCGGTGTTTAAGATATTTGAGGAAACGGCATTTGACGCTCGCACTGTGCGCAGCGCGGCCTTGGTAATGCTGCAGCACGAGCACACCACAAACATCCTCACCGAGGTCATACTGTACATAAGCGCAATGCACAAAATGTCGGAGGAGAGGCGCGCAGAGGGCGGCGAAGAGATGCTTTCTGGAATACTGGAGTACCTGCTCGTGGAGAGCGAAGCCAGCAAGAGCACGGGCCTGCAGAAGAATTACAGCAGCTTGATTCTTAAAGTGGGCGAGTCTATTCGCATGCAGGGCGTGTTTGACCTTATTGAGCCGCTCACGCAGAGCATCACTTCAGAGGTCCAGTGCATACGCAACTCTGCGATAGAGTCTGCCGTCTTGGTGTGCCGAACTTTGAAGGGGCAGATCGAGCAGGACCGGAAGGGCGAGAAGGAGCTTTTTACGGTGCTTTCTGCTGTTATAGAGAGAGCGTCGGATGTGAGCCCCTTTTGCAGGAGCAGGGCCGTCCACTCCCTCACAGACATTCTCTGCAACCATGGGATACTGGAGGATCTGAAAGGCCCTGTGTATGCGGCCATGCAGGAGCGGATTATGGACAAAACGCAAATAGTCCGGAGAAAGGCCATTTTGTTCTTTAAGCGCGCAGTTGAGACACATCCGTACGCCTTGGATGGGGGGACCCTATCCGCAGACAGAATACAGAAGCACAAAAGCACAGACGCAAAATACTACGAAAGTGCAATGAGCTTCTACCAGGCAATACACGCAAGCGTTGAAAACATAAAGAGGCTGATCCATGCAGGAAGCAAGGGAGAAATAACCGAAATCATCCAGTACATCTCACTGTGCTACTCGTACGGCATAGAGAATGCGCTGGAGGTGTTCCCCAGCCTGTTTTTGTTCTCGTGGCAGAGGCTCACACTCGACGGAAGAAACACGGCGGACACGCTCTCGGAGGAGCTCAGAAGAATGGCAGACGGAAGCTCCAAGCGGCTCATAGACTTAATGCTGCACTTCGACTCGGACACGCTCGCATACGAAGGAATAATTAGAGAGCTCACTCTGAGGGGGATCCTGGGAATCGAGGCAGTGAACACGCTTTTCTACAGAATCGACGCGCAGGAGAACATTGCATGCCTGCGGCTGCTCAGACGAATATCCGCCACGGACAGGTCGGTCACAGAGAGCGCACTCCCCCGCATCCACAGCATTCTTGCGCGAAGCGAAAACATACCGGTCATAAGCGAGTGCGTGCGCATTTTGGGAAATCTTGACTACAGGCTGGGAAACACGTCGGAAACCATCCAGGCCATTGTAAAGTCGCTCGAGCGGGTGGACGAGGCCAATCTTGAGCTTCTTCAGGCAATCATAGACACCGGGTACTTGGTCAGCACAGACCCAGACTCACTTGCCGTGGACGTCCTGGGCGCGCTTGTCCACAGGGAGATGCGGGTGCCCGTGATATTTGCCGTGGGGCACATCGCGATTAAAGAGGCTGTGCACCTGGAGAGGGTGGAGGCGGCGTGGAGCTATCACAGCAAGCACACGCCTGCAAACCCGGCCAAGAAGCACAGAGACAGCGTGTCGTGCCCGGAGATCAGAGAAAGAAGGCTGAGCGTGGGCTCGAGAAAAAACAGCATGAAGAACACCACAGAGGAGCAGGAGGAGATGGCAGATAGAGTATTCTTCAGCAAAGAGCACGAGATCATATTCGGAGAAGAGTCCGTTCTGAAAAGCTTCCTGAACGTCGTGGTATGTGGGCTCGGCAGCTCGGAGGCGCTGGTTAAGAAGATCTCGCTTATATCCCTGGGGAAGATTATGAGCGTAAGCAGCGAGTGCAGCACCCGCTTTATGCCACAGGTGGTGCAGATGCTTTCCGACGAAGAGAGTGAGGTACAGGTGATTGCGCTGGTCATTATATCGGACTCGGTCATGGCGTTCAGCAGCTTGGTAAAGAGCGCAGGCGCCAGCCTGTTTTTGCCGCTGAGATCTGACTCCGAGGAAGTGAGAATGACGGCGCTCGTTCTTATACGGCACCTTCTGAGAAGCGGCATGATAAAGGTGAAGGACAACTACTGGAGCCTTTCTCTGCTGCTCCTGGAAGAGAGCACAATCCGGGCAACTGCGCAGAAGCTTTTTGAGGAGGCTTCGGAGCGAGAAACTCCCATGAAGATTATATGCGAGGTCATAAAGTCGTACCTAATTGAGAAGGGCGCGGCAGAGGCGGAAGGCGCCGGAGAGCCTGGCGATGAGCACCAGCAGCTGGTTCTTGTGGTCAAGTCGCTCCTGAAAATTTCAGGCGTGGCAGACCTCCCCAGGAAGTTGTGCGAGTGGGCGGCCTCTAAGAATGACGCAGCAGTGAATGCGGCCTGCTCCGCTGTAGTAGAAGAGGTTTCTAAGGCAAGCGTGCCAGCATAACCCGAAAAGGGCAAGCCCAAATAAGTTGGCAGAAGAGTCCTGAAGTAAATAAAGCATAAGAGTAGGCACAGAGTTTATGGCCCATTTCTCCAGAGCCCACGGTTTATATGCGGAAGCACATGCGGCAGCGCTCTTTGCAGATTTGATGCACTTTCTGCGCGCATAGCATCTATTGCATCGAGCTGAAGATGCGCGCAGAGTTTGCCTGCGCTGTTCTTGGCTCTATATCAGCCGCATTCCTGGGCGCTGGCACTTGCTTATAATAATTTATTTTTGTGGCGCATATGGGCATAGAAGACATAGAGAGAGCGCTTCTGGGCGCATTGGAAAGTGCAGAGACAGTTTGCACTGTGGATATAGAGGGCGACTACACTTCCGTGATAGGGGCCGTTAAAAGGCTGGAGTCCTTTAACAAAGTGTGCAGCACGCCGGTGCAGCACGACGACGTATACCCAACAGAAGAAGGCGCTGAGGTGCTGAAGTATGGGTCTGCCGAGTATATAGTGTATTTAGCTGTTGAGACGCCGCTGAGCAACGAGCAGATAGAGAGTGCCCTTTCGCAGAAAGACCAGTTTAAAGGCCAGAGCCCAAAAGAAATCGCAGACTTTGTAAAGAAGGGGAAAAACAATGGGCTGAAAGCAAAAATTCTCAGAATGTGCGAGAACAAGGTGTGCAGAGGCGTGGATTCGGCAACTGATGCGACCAGGGATCTTATGGGCAGCCTGAAGGCCCTAAAGAAGGAAGAAGTTTCTGAGCTGAAGAAGAGAAAGCTGGTGACCCACAAGAAAATAACGCACTACACGCTTACCAAAGGCAGCGCATACGGAGTCAATGCGGCATCGGTCAGCGACATAACAGCAGACATGCTTGCGAGCATGGAGGGCCTAAGCCTAAAAAAGTACAACTTTAACATCATCACAGCGCCGTCAAAGTATGCCGGCGCTTTGCACCCGCTCTCTCTGGAAAGGGAAAAGGTGAAGTCGATTTTCCTGCAGATGGGGTTTCAGGAAATGGATGCAGGAAAGTACGTGGAGTCGTCGTTCTGGAACTTTGACGCACTGTTCCAGCCGCAGAGACACCCCGCCAGGAACGAGCAGGACACGTTTTTCTTGGCGGACCCTGCTGAGTGCGCAGACCCAGAGCCTGCGTATCTCGAGAGAGTCAGAACCGTCCACACAGTCGGCGGATACGGGTCTGCAGGGTACAACGCCCCGTGGAGCGTGGAGGAGTCCCGGAAAAACGTTCTGAGAACGCACACAACGGCCGTTACAACTAGGCTGCTGTACAAGCTCGCGCAGGAAATGCAGGCCAGCGGCTCCGAGAGCGCAAACTACTCCAGGAAGTACTTTTCCATTGACAGAGTGTTCAGAAATGAGTCTCTGGACGCCACACACCTGGCAGAGTTTCACCAGGTGGAGGGCATCATTATGGGGAAAGGCTTGACCATTTCCCACCTGATGGGGTACATGGAAGAGTTCTTCAAAAAGCTGGGGATCAGCAGGATCAAGTACAAGCCTGCATACAACCCATACACCGAGCCTAGCATGGAGGTGTTTGGCTACCACGAAGAGATGAAGAGGTGGATGGAAATAGGAAACTCGGGAATATTTAGGCCCGAGATGCTTTTGCCGATGGGGTACCCAGAAGACGTGCGCGTGATCGGATGGGGAATATCTTTGGAGCGGCCTGTCATGATAGGGAGAAAGATAAACAACATACGAGACCTTGTGGGGCATAAGGTGGATATGTCTTTCATCCGAAACGGTCTGGCCGGGTAGGCATGCCTCAGCGCCCCACGCAGCCCAAATAAACATATTTAAATGAGTAAATGCGACAGTGTGTAAGTTGCAGCATGGCTGTATTCCTGCAGGGCAGTCTGTGTTTATTGATGTCTTCCTGCTGAGCTATGCTCTTCTCCAGGAAACACCCAAAAGGGCTTGGTCTTGCGGGGTGGGGGCTATTTCGCGCTTTTTGTCTATTTTGTATATGGAGCTGTCCTCGGCCATAATAAGTATTTCTTCGCCTCCTGCAAAAACATCCAGAATGTCCTTGCACAGCGGCACGCGCACAACAGGCTGAATGTACGTGTCGCCTCCGTACACAGTCAGTGTGCCTTCTTCCACCGTCAGAAAAGAGTCTAGCGACACCATCCGGACTGTCTCGGAGTGGACTTTTTGGAACAGCTCGAGCCTGCCCGCCACTTTCCCCTCTACTACGGACAGCATGTAAACAGCGCCAACCGACAAATGCACAAGCACTGTGCTTCTGCTTGCTGTGTTATACACGGAAAGCGCGCGTATAGGGAATGCAAACGATATGCGCCCCGAGTCCAGCACAAGAGAAAACCCGTCGGAGTACACATATCCGGTATGCAGCAGATGGAAATTGCCAATACTGCGCCCCCTTGCAACGACGCTCCCGTTCCAGCGCACTGCCACCATGCCTTCCTCCTTTTCAAGAAGCACCGGGCTGTGCTGCATGTTCATGTTCGGCGAGTCAAGCGCCCACAGCGTCTGCCCTTTGTCTATGGCCAGCGCCTGCGCGCGCAGCGCTTTGTTTTTGCCGACTGAGTATACAGTGTGTCCTGCAGAATGCTCTATGACCACGTCTTTTCTGAACTTTCTAACGGATTTAATGCCCTCGGGCGCAGAGAGTGTGGACTTTGCATCGAGCTGCCAGGCGTACTCTTGCACTGAAAAGCGGCTCTTGTACAGCAAAACCAAAATAGACCCGGTGTGGGTGGAGAACGCGTAGAAGCCCGTTAGGTTGTGGGCGTTGATAGGCCCAACGCTTCGTGCATATTCCATGCCTCCGCCATGAACTGCAAATATTTTGACTTCTCCCGTGTTTGTAACTCTGTGCATGTATCCGCCGAATGTGTACGTGTGCATATAGCTTGCTATGGAAATAGGTGTCAGCGCGCCCGTGCCATCACCGTGTGTCTGGACCGGCATATCCTCAGGCCTGGGCGCGCTTTTAGTGCTGATTTTGTATCGGCTTCCGTCTCGGTGTATATAGTACGTTCCTGCGCTGCACTTTATGCACAGCCCAGAGGAGGTTTCCGACAGGTCTGGGCTGTCTCCCGACATAAGCTCCCGATGGAAGGAGATTCTGGCATGCTCTATGGAGCTGCTGGTTACCTGGAGAATGTTCCTTTTGTCTAAAAAGACTGTTTTAATGTGCTCTGCGCGCGCAGTGCCTTCTGGAGGGCTTTCTGAAACTCGAAACCCGAGCTCGTCGCACGCCATGCATTGCAGGCCCCCAGAAGTGGACACGCAAACAACAGACACCTCTTCCCTGCGGGATATGCTCTGTATTCCAGCCTTTCCCGGGCTGTGCAGTTTGAAGACCGCCCCGTGATCGGCATTGTACAGATGGTGCAGCGTGCCCCCGTGCTTGAGAAGGCGCACAAGGATGTACTCTTGCACTGCCATGGCCCAGACAATTCTTTCGTGCGGTATCTCTTCTACGTGCGAAATTCCGTCTCGGCTGTACTGGTAAAGGCGCATCTCGTTGGCAAGCACAACGATGACTCTCCTGCATATAGACACAGCCAGTATCCTCGAAGGAACAGGCACCATGCCTTTGACAATCCCGTTCACATAAAACGCGAAAGAGTGCTCCAAAGACTCAGCAGAGTAGACCGTGCCATCTATATTTATTTCTGGAACGCCCGCTACAAGGCACTCCAGCATGTTTACGCGCATATTTTTGTGCTGGAAGCAGAATATAAAAATGGCCTGCTACAAAGCGCAATTGCAGAGTGGGAAAAATATATAAGTGCTCAATTTATTCTCATATGGCCTGCACAGTCTGAGTCTGCTCTGGATGCTTGCTGCGGGCGCTTTTCGGCGTTGCTTCTGTACACTTCCATCGCCTGCCTTTGAAAGACCTCCGGGCCTAGCATAAGTATTCTGTGGGCTTCTTTGTTTAGAGGGTCTTCAGTCGGAACATCGTACAAAATGGCAGATAGCCCAAATATTACCATTTGTATGCCTTGCTCTATGCTCCAGTCCTCTCTGGTTATGTTTAGACAAACTCTTCCTATGCTGTCTATGGAAGGATGCAGTATTTTCATCTGGCAGACGGCCTTTGGGGGGCTGAATGGGTAGTTTTGCGGTATGTTTATGCTGAATGTATACGTGTGCCCTTCAAAGTACCCACTCTGCGGCGTGACTGTGTACTCTACCGTAGACACGTCGTTGCATACTCTTAGCGTGGCTGTTTCGTTGGCGTGGAGAAGCAGCCCCGTGCACTCTACTTCCGCCCGCAGCACAGCAAGTGGCTTCTTTCTCATGTTTTTTGGGCTATATTTTTCTCAACTTATTCATGACTTTGCTGGCGCTCTCTGTGGACTTTGTGTTTGTGTCTGTTATGTCTTTAATAAGGGGCATCTGGTTGTCTATCTCCTTTTGCTGCACTGCAAGCTTGCTCTTTAGACTCCTAAGCCCATTTCTTATATTCACAAGGACACTGTTTGTGCTTTGCTCTGTCGGGTGCTCCTCCAGTGTGGTGGGCTCGTACGGCTCCAAGGGGGCCATGTCTGGCGGCGTGCTGGGGGTGTAGGTGTTGCTGGGCTTGGACTTTGTCTTGAAAATGCCTTTTATTTCATCTCCTATTTTGTCCCCGATTACTATAAGCTTTCCTGCCCTCTTCATCTTAACCGCCAATGTGTTGCCTTTCTCCAAGTTGCTGTGCACCAGGTTGGACTCTTCTCTTATTGCCTCAAGCCTTTCCCGTTGCTGGCATATCATCTGCATGGTCTTGTCGGTTGTTCGGAATATGGAGTTTAGCGTCTTCTGCGCCTCCAGCGAGGTCTTGTAGTTTATAGATTCTACCTCCTGCAGATATTCTTCCTGGGTCTTTGTTTTCTTCGCGAACTTCTTCATGAATGTAAAACATTTCCATCTATTTAGTTTTAAATGGTAATACACACTATAGATACGGGGTAGTTTGCGGCCCCAAGTCTTTCGGCGCTTGAAATAAAACAATTACTTATTTATTTACGCGCATGCCAGGCCTATATCCCTGAGTAAGAGGCAGTTTTTGGTTTGTCGAGCCCAACTCTAAAGCGCCGCTGGAGGGAAAAGGCCGCTTCTGAAGCTTTTGTTTTGGCGCAGCCGCAGGGGAGTTTCAGCCCAAACGGATGTGCCAGACTTTGTGAAGCAGCTTGCTTTTTCTGCCCACGGCTCAGAAGGATTGTGCCCACGCTACAGCATAAATCTCTGCCTTTGCATGGAAATAGACGGAACTGCCATTCTGCAGCTTTGCGCCCATTCTGTTACATATATGTGTTTTCTCTTGCAGTAAAACATGCGCTGCTTTTGTGAGTCTAATATCTGGACCTTCCACGCACAAATCCAGGCTACACTACTCTTCCAGCGCCGTGGCTGGCCCCATAAGCCCACACATGCCTTGCTGTGCACTTCTGATTACTCTTTTGGCACTTTCAAAAGAGGCAGCTTTCCTGGCTTTAGCTTAACTCCTGTCACGTCGCTGAGCACTTGCAGAATATTCTTGTCTATTTTGAGCGCTTGTATGTATGGGAGCATTTCTGCGGGCGGAGCCTCCCTGCTGAGCATTTTCATTATACAGTACAGCTCGTATATAACAGACCAGCCCCCCTGGGCGCCCCTCTCTTGCGACCCTGCTAGTATTTTGCCTAGCTTTTTCTTGCTTGCGCTTATTGTTGAGCCCATTCCCAGCTGTCTGCTGAACATGACTCTGGCGGCCAGGCGCAGCTTGGGGCGCACTGTTGTGTAGTATGCAGCCACGGGAAAAAGCCTTTTTTCGTCTTTCTCAATCATGCGAGTGGAGAGCACCTCCGCAGCACTAAGCGAGTCTGCATTGGCGGCGATCTCCTGCACTGAGCCGCCCCCCAGGTAGTTTTCAAACACCATAAGCAGCGCAAACGCGGTCTCCTGGAAGAAAAAGTTTATCTTCTGCGCTGGCGTGTTGTTGGGCTGGAATATCTCTTTTGTGATGTCGAACAGATTGTCGCTTGTGCTGTGCTTGCTCATCACCTTTATGTCGTTCATGGATATGCTGGGCTTCTTGCTAAGGTATTGCAGCATGTTCGTTGCATACCGCACATCCCCGCACGCGGTTATGGCTATCTGCAGCAGCGTATTCTCGGGCACTCCTATTCCCTCAGCCTCTGCTATTTTCTTGAGATGTCCGGCAATCTGCCTGCTGTCTATTTTGCTGTATGATATGGCTTTGCACTTCGTAAGAATTGTCTTGATGTTTTGGCTGGACTTGTCGTTCACTGTTAGCACGATGGGCGTCTTGCTTTTTTTAAACAGATCTAGCATCTCCTGCAGCCCCCCTCTGTCGCTTGCCCCCATGTTTTCTATTTCCTCCAAAAGAATGATCTTCTTGCTGTGCAAAGCTGCATTGCAAGTAAGCGATTTTTGCGTGGACAGACTCTTTATGACCGACATTTCCTGTTTGTTCCGGCAGTCGGCCCCATTGTACTCTACCACGCTTATGCCTAGCTCTTTGGCAACAAGGTATATTGAGAGCGTTTTTCCTATGCCTGATGTGCCTGAAATAAGCACCGGCGTAAGATCTCGCTGCGACATAAACTCCTTTAAGGCGGCTATGCTTTGCCTGTTTCCTAGTATGTCGCTTGATTTTTTGGGCTGGTACTTTTCTGTCCATCTTTCCTTGGACGCGCTCCTAGTTTGCGCAGGCTTGCTTCTCTTCACCTCTGCTGGTGTCACCACGTGGTCTTTGCTTATGTTTATAAACTCCTCTTCGGTGAGTATTCGGGTCTTGTTTGCCGCGGCCTTCTTTACCTTGGCAGGGCCCGGCTCGCTGCCCACTACTAGGTAGCTGGTTGTGCCAGACACGCTCAGCGTAACTTTCCCCCCTAACTCTCGTATTCTATTGACTAAGTCATTTCTTGGCGTGTTTGTTGTCCCTGTGACTACAAACGTCTGCCCTTCAAACGGGAGAGTGTTTTCTTTCCTCTTCATAAAAAAGAAATATTCGCTGCGTATATATATCCAGCAGAGAAAGCGCTTCTTTTAGAGCGCGTACACACGGCGCAGCTGCTGTATCTGGCCTTGCGCCGTTGCTTCTGTATGCTTTCTGCAAGCTGTAGGCGCATTCTCTGCCTGCGGGCTCTTGCAATGCGGGGTTTTCTGGGCTCTGCGCGCTATCAGCATGCTGTGCAGCCTCTTTTGCGTGCTGCGCCCTAAGCATGCCGCACTCTAAAAGGGCACACACGCCAGCCGCATAACAAATCGGCATTTATATGCATTTTTCCATTGGCCGCATACCCACATAGATAGCCCTCGACCGGCATGGGCAGTGCAGCGCAACAGCGCAATGTTAAATAGGCCAACCTTGTTTTAAAATAAGCCAAAGTGCTGGCCTGTGCAGACAAGCTTGACCACATTTTGGCGCTGTTTGAACTTTTGTGCAGGCCGGGCTCAGCTTTTTTCCAGAGAAGAGACTCCAAAAACGCTTCTCCTCCACTTTTGTTGCAGTTCTAGCACTAGCCAGAGCACATTGCGTTTTCAGGGGTTTCCCCGCTACACAGGCTTTTCTCTAAGAAAACAGTGCTTGCGCTTTCTTTATTATTTCTCTTATGCTGTCCATGCATTCAATTATGCAGAGTAGCTTTTCTACCTATATAGCTCTGTCGCATGATGTGTCTTTTGGTGCGCACATAAGCGCTCTTTCGGCGCTGCGCATGCTATGCACAACCTCATTTCCCCATGCATAATGCTATATCTAGTACTCAATGTGCTGCACTGTGTCGTTCTGTGAAGTATCCGGGCCCGGCTCATCCAATGTTTTTGGGTTGCTCCAGACCAGCTCGCTTTTTAGAGCAAACGCTGTCAGAATAAACAGCACATAAATCAAATATATTCTCATTGATTTTTGGAACAAAATGTTTGCGCGCGATTTGCCCACATAAATAGTGTGCGGGCGACCATAATCTCCAGTTTTCTGCGCATATAAAGTCCGTTTTTTGATTTAAAAATGCAGAATCTAGCTGGGCGCACTTGAACAATGCCATTTCTGCTCTAACGCCCAAATGCAGAGTGCAGGCCCACATAAAAATTGGGGGCACTTTTTGCGACGCTGTAAATGCACAAAACAGCTCGAATGCGCATACACTTTTTATATGGGCCTGCAAGTGGGGTGGCATGCATGCTGCGCAAAATACGCGATCAGCCTTTATGCGAGGCTTTCCAGACAGCAAGAACAAAAAATGCAAAGAAAAAACTCTACAAATTGTTTTTGCAGAGTTTAAATATTGCTGTAGATGCAGTGCAGCAGAAAACACATGCTTTTGCCAAATTTTATTGTAGTTAGAGGGACAGCAACCGCAATAGTGCAAATAAATGAGCCAGCAGTCTGGAACATACCATAAAGCGCAACAAGAGCCATTTATTTCCAAAAGAAAACAGAGATACGAAAAAGGCAGGGGCCATAGTGGCTTTGCTTTTGTTCGCACCTGCAGCCATGCTTAGTGCTATACAGGGACTAAATATACGCAAGCTTCAGGCAGTTAGCATGGGATGCTCCGGTACTCCTGCCTCGATAGTGCACGAAGATATGCACCTAGGAAATCTAAGAAATACATCTCGCACTGAGCCGAGCAATTCTGATGGCTTCACCAAAAATCTGCACATACAAATGCGCTATGCCATAGAAAAGAGAGGCTCCAGTAGAGGCATTTATTCTCTGGCAAGCAAGAAAAAAAGCTGCATATTCAAAAAAACATAACTGGAATAAATCCTGCAATGAGTCAGAATCAACAAATGGGCACACGTAGTTCTTTAAAGCAAGCCGGACGCATCCTATAACTGCCGCGCGCATAATACAAATGCGCCAAGCTTAAACAGCTTCTGTATAATCTGGCTGATCACTATAGATGCGCTGTAGCCAAAAGTGCAAGCATTGGCCATGGTGCGTAAAGAAAACATATTTTTCACATAGGCATTCAACTTGCTTGAGTGTATTTTATTTTGCTTTAAGTACTACTCGTATAACTAGTTAACACTACTCGTATAGGAAAGTGCGCATTAGCTAATGCTTAGGCATTCATCCCTAGCCCAAGAACCAGCGACTTCGTAAAAATGTATAAATATTCATATTTTGTACTAATGTGCAGCACGGGATCATTAGTAAGAACCAGTTCAAACATATCGACAAAGTTATTCATGCATTCAGTGTATAATTTGTAGGTTTTTTCTTCTTCTACACCACAATCAGGATCAGAAATATCCGCAAAGCAGCTTTTGCTATATATAGGCTTCAAGTCTTCTTTAAGTTGCGGAATAATGTTGGAATATTTCAAATCATACCAAGAAGATTTTTCTTTACAAAGAAAAACCTGCTCTGCCAATTTTTTAGATGCATCCTTCCAAACCGAGCGCATGCGCTGTCCCTGGGCCTTCACACTTTGGTTGGTGTTTCTTTCAACTGCTTCCATAACATGTTCACTCAGGGATTGTATGGCTTTGTGCATGTAAAATTCCGGATGCTTAGGGGGTTTGCACACATCCGTAGACACCTCATGTATTTCGTCTAAATAACAAGGGAGATAGAACTCCAATTTTATTTGGGTCATCATCATGGAATCAGGATTGGTTGTTTTAGTATTATGACCACATTCGACAACTCTATCCATCCTTGCCCGCCTATCTGCGATAAAGTCGTTCTTCCCTTTGTTTATTACAGATTCTTCTGCATATTGAATCCAAAGTCTTTCGTTTGTAGCAGGTATTCTTAGGTCATACAATTGCTTGGAAGCCTCTGCATATGCGGAAATCGCAGAATTACAGCCACCCCTTGCGCTACTTTCGATTTTAGATGCTACGTCTCTGATCACTTGAGGCGACCACGCGGCATGCAGTATCTTAATTATAAGGGTTCCAATTCTGTCACCCGCCTGCATATCTAGCTTCGGGTCGTAATGTTTTTTCGCCAGCTGCTTTTCTAGATCCTTAGCTTTTTCATGTTCTGGCTTGCTTTCTGAAGCTCCGGCACTTATTTCAGCTACATAACATGCATATATAATTCCTACTACTATCATCATCCATATTTTCCCTCTCATGAGATATAAAAAATATTTGCATATATATAATTTTACAGCCTGATAACAAAACACTCTTATCAATCGAGTGTTTTAGATATCCCAAATCAAATAGACCCCAACACATGCGCGTGTCAGATATGATGGCAGCACAGCTTTCCCAGCGCCCAAGCACAAGAAATAAAGCGCACAGCTCTGTTTGCTTTTATTATTTGTGGTGAATTCTTGGAATTACCACACGATCGGAGACGGCCAAGATCACGATGGACTTTTTGATATGGATGCGATGAAATTGTATATCACTAAAGTGATTAAAAAGGCATAAATACGCGAGCAAATTCAATTTCAGATGCAAAGAAATAAGAAGAACATGGTATCAAGTCAATCGATTATCGACAGTCGGGGTTCTCCAAAGGCTAATAAATCTTTACTGGAACTAGCTTTAGACAAGCACACTTACATGCCCCGAATTTGCGACATTATTATTTAAATGCCAAAAACATCCAGATGAATATTAATGTGCTGAAGGCCGGGCGTGCGCCTGTGATAGACTTTCCATTTCAATGTGCTTTTTTCTCTTTATTTTCCTCTCTTTGCTTTGCCACAGGCACAAGTGCATATTTCCCGCCTGCCTATACAGACCCTAGGCGCACAAGACATTCGCCTAGCTTTGGCCTTTTTGCCTGTCCTACGCCCTCTGCCGTGCGCCTCCAATCATTTCGACATTTAACATGAATAGTACGCCGAAAGTGGGCAGCCGGCATACACGCAGAAAGCAAGATTTAGCAGCGAAGGGGCAGAAATAGCGGCGCAGAGAATACTCTACTGGAACGGTGCCAAGCCCTTGACTGAAGTGCTGGGCCTTGAAACAAAGACATGCGCGTTTTTTGGCATACAGAGAATAAGCTGCACGCGCTTATTGGGGCGTGGGCACACACGAAGAGTTTGAATTCTCTGAATGCCCGGCATCCATGTCTCGGATGACTTTGAATGGAGTGTCGTTAACCATTTGGATTTCTATTTCATTGCCCAGCGTAAGCATTATTTCGCACATTTTCATCAAGCGGGTCCTTGCATTTTCTATCACAAAAGAAGAAATGCGCGCAGTTTCAGCCGGACCCGTGGTTTTTGCGCCCTCTTTGAGATAATTGGCCTGGGCTTTCAACACATGCACAATTGCCACATCCGCACACAGAAGCTCAAGGGTGAGAAGCTCATTCCACAGTTCTGTGCACGGCAGAAGAGGCCTTTTTAAAAACGTGTTGAATATGTGCTTAATCTTTGTTAAGGCGGCCTGGTATGATGCTGCAATCATGCACGTCTTCAGAGATATCGGACAGGTATGGCTCTCACTGGGGAAAGGCCTTTCCATCGTCATGCGGGCTTCCTGCAGATGTTTTTTCACACTTATGTGTTCACGGCATTTTCTTTCAATGCGTGCTAACAGAAATTCTATTTCTCGAATATTGTTTGCTTTGGATGCCAAGGGTATAGCTATGAGAAAAAGGCATACTAGATTTCGAATAGAGAAAACAAAAGCGCGTGCCATAAATTAGTTTTTATTCAATTTTTGCATGCTTAAATACATAGTAGATTTTATTGCTTCTGTCAAAATCAGCAATTTTTTATTGTGCACATGTAATAAAACGTGTTTTTGGCTATTTTTGAATTTAAAAATCAAGGCGGCTCTAATAAAAATGCACATTCTAACCTCTTGAAAGAAATACTCAATGTTTTTGTTTGCACAGCGCTGGCTTTAGTCAGAAGGCCATTTCCTAGTCTGTGAAAAAAAGGCCAAGTACGAGCATTTATTTTTCCAGCACATAGCATAGCATGGCGCAATACAGCTTTGCGCTCAGGAGTGCAGCTCGCGCAAATGCAGTGCTCGGAGGCTAGCATATAGCCATTCCCAGCATCGAGTCATTAATGAATAGATTCAAGAACGCGCACAGTTTTTGTATGCACGCCTCGCTGTTTTCCTGTGTTGCGCTATAGGCGGCTGTGGCCCAAGAGAGAACAAGCGCTTCGCCGGCCTGTGGGTGCAGACTTTTGTTGCGATGTGCATGCTCAAGCAGTTTAAGCTGCGTTAGATGTTTAATCCTTTCATTTACCTGGTTCCGTATATGTGTTTCTAGGCCGTTGCATATGGAGGGTTTTCTCTGCTCCCTTATAAGAATCGTATGCAGGTCGATTATCTCGTTCATTTGCATGCGCATTCTGTATATGCACGTGCCCAGGGCTTCTTTGCGGGGGATGCACATGGGGCCGCGCAGCCCTTCCTGCTGGGAAGCCAGAAGAGCTATGCGGACTTCCCACATCAGTATTCCCTCCGTTATGTTTTCCAGAGCAGAGCTGTTTGTCAGAGTTTTGGCTGCACACAAACTGGAGCCTTGCAAAAGAGACTCGCCTGCTGCCGCCACCGGCCCGAGCAAGCAGAGCGCACAGAAAAGGGCAAAGGCACCGTGTAGAAGCTGGTTTTGTGTGAACGTTTTCATTGGTAGACGCGCCCGCCTCCGGATAGAAATACTTCTAGAGCCAAAACGATATCATTAATCTTATGAAAGAAAGTGATTGTATCAAAGCAAACAAATGCTGATTTCCCCATTCGTTCGAAAATGCCAAAAAAACAGCTCAAAAGCAATGCTTGCGCAGTTTTGCACGGGCTGTTTATGCATGCTGCGAGCGGGCACCAATGCTGCAACTCCAATTTAGCATTCCTGCGCGCTGCAAAGCCTTTCGGCGGCAACGCCTGCTTGTGGCTGCGTTTTGGCCGGAATGCATTTTTCTACGCACAAACACGCTGGCTGGCTTTTTTTGGTTTTTCATAGAGAGCAAGTTTGCAAAATGGTTTTTCACAAAGTGCGAGAACCAAGCGCTAAAAGCGTGTTTCTTCTGCGCAAAGAAAAAGCGCGTTTGCGCAACAGAAGACAGCGCGCAAGCGCAGCCCGGCGTGCTGGCAAAAGGAAACTCTCTCACAGGGAGTCGAACCCTGGTCCCCCGCGTGACAAGCGAGAATGATAACCACTACACCATGAGAGATCCTACAAGTACGTCGCCAAAGTGTCACGGGCTTGCCTATATAGGCGCGTGGAGGCGTTTGAGCCTGTCTGGATGCTTCGTGCGTGCGGAGGTGTGTGTGCGAGTGAAAAAACAAAAATGTGCCTGCATTTTGCAAATAGAGGCAGGCGCTGTGCGTGTATCTGGCTCTCAGCGCTGCCGATTCGGGCCGGCCTAGATATATAGTTGTGCAAATGTAATATTTTATTCTAAAGAACTCATCTGCTTCTTATTTGAGGAAACAAAGAGCTTCATCAAACCGCCTGCAACTGCCAGCGCGCAAACACCTGCAGCCACCATCTTGTACGAAACAGGCTTTTCTTTAACATATTTTGGAAGGGTTCCCTCTTTGTACTGGGCCAACTGAGTTTCGAAGTAGGCTTTAATAGACTCTGCTGGCTTTTTCTTTCTTCCATAGAACATCTGCTTCTCGGGGTCGAAGAAAACAATTAGGGAGCTGCGCCCAAGAGTGCCAAAGTTTGTCTCAGTGAATTTTGGATACTCCAGCTTATCCACAAAAGTAAACACGTATGGGGACGAGGAAGCTCCCCTGTTATGTTCAAGCGCAATTTCTTCGAACACGTCCAGGTCTTTGTTGTTTCCGTCTGTTACAATGCCGGCAACAGGCTTTAGCCCGTGGAAGATCGAGTAGAAGTTGTCCATGCCTAGCTTGGAGATGTTCGGGAAGTGGGCGTGGAACAGCCATTCTCTGATATCCCCTTCATTGTTTATGTCTCCATCGTAGTAGAACTTTGTTCCGTTTTTGAACACTGCCAGCCTGAGTATGGGCTCGGCAGACTCTGCAGCCTCTATTTTCATCTTGTATGTTGACGCGTTCATTTTGAGGTCGTGCGAGATTCTTCGGAATGTTCTGTTTGCCAGGACCACGTCGGAGTAGAAGACCACAAATGTGGGCTGTGTAATTCCCACGAGCTCATCTGCAGTGATATCTTTAAAGCTGGGCTCAACCAGCCTGCTGCAGAATTCGTGGAACGCAGACATTGTCATTTCTCCATTGTATCTCATTAGTATTCCGTCGTACATCACAAGCAGCCCCGGGAAGTCGTATATGTAGTAGCGCCCTGCGATTATTTCCTGGTCTGTGCCAATGTACCTCGCTATTTTTATCTCTCCATTGAACGACTTGTACGTCTCCAGGAGAATGTCTTCAATAACGCTGTCGTGCTCGTTGCTGAAGTACACGATCCATGGCCCGTTGAATGTTGAAAGGAAGTCGTGCTTTGTCAGGGTGAGCAGCTCCTTGGGAACCGGCACTTCAGGCTCAAACACGCTCTTCTTCAGGTCGGTTTTGCTCACGAGGAGGTCGACTATTTTCTCGTATGGCATGTCGCCAGAAAACTTCAGCAGCTGCTTGTTGTCCTTGTGCACTACAATTGTGGGAATAGACTCTATGTCTGCGGTTTCGTCGTGGCATGCTGCCGTGTCTACGTTGTATAGGTTTATTGGAAGCGACGCCTTTTCTATCGAATGGACAATCTTGGCTATCTTTGGGGTTATGCTTTGGCAGTGTATGCACTTGTCCCTGTAGTATTTGGTAATAGAGTACCCGAAGGCAGGAGCATCTACACGGCACGTGTTGTATGTCTCGCCCACCACGCACTGGACAAGAAATAGATATAAAATGAGTTGCACTCGCATGAAAGCAACAGCCTGGCTGCTTAAATACTTTGGCCAGGGTTTCAGTCTTGTTTCTTATCCCAGGAAAACAAACACAGTGAAGTAAAGTCTCAGCGTGTTTTCGGGGATGGAAGGCCTGCAGGGCGTCGAAAACACAAAGCCCATCCCCCATAAACATGTGTTACTGTGCAGGGGAATAAGAAAGCGCCGAACTCCACGAACGCATCACTTCGCCGCTCTGACTCCAGCAACTGCAAGAACGGACACACAGGGACATATCCCTCGTTTTGGAAGGCCGGGCATGCGATATCCACTTGCATTTGCAGCAGTTCAACCGCTTTCAAACAGACTTGCCTAGATGAAAATATGCAGCTCCAGCCTGTGTGCACACATACAGTGCAAAAAAGAAGTCTTCGCTAGAAAATGTATTTAAAAATAAACGCGTTTTTTCTGTTTGTGAGTGTCTGTGCGTGCTTGAACAAAGATGCCATTTATTTGTATTTCCGGCATTAATGCATTCCATGCTGTCTTCTACTTGCGCTTCTCTTTTGTAGCGCAGACAGCTTGCAAATTTAGAGTTGCTTTTTACGAGGGTGCGGCACTGTAGATGCAGAAGACTAGCCAAGCTCAATGTCTTTCATGCAGTAGAACGCCACCCATAGGATGGGAGATGCAAGTCGCAACCATTGCACGCTCTTCTCCTTTAAAACGCTCGGATTTTGTTTTTCCTTCCATAGGAATCTTCAGTGCCTTCAATGCCCTGGCAGTGCACTCACGTTGGCATCTCCAGGGAGCCCAAAAGTTCTTAGCTTGTGTCTTTGGGAAACCCAAAGCACAGAAGCGCTTGCATGGCTTTACGTGGTGTTTTGTCTGGGCCAGGCATCAGACACGGTTTGCTTTGAGTGCAGGATTACTATTGAAAACAGAGAAGACGCTTTCATCGGAAATGATGGACCATAAAAGTAAGCCGACACAACTAACAAAAACGACAACCAATAACCCGATTGGTAACCAAATGAACACCTTCCTCAAGGTAGGACTAATCCTAGATCTGGGAGCTTCCTCAGTTTGCATTTGAATTTCAACCTGCTGAGTTTCTATGGGTGGCTGCTTGTTGCGTACTATCTGGAGCGCGGTTGGGTGGTGGGCCCGTTTAAGCAGAAACAGATACTCCCAACGAATGGCATCCGGGGACTTTTTTGGTATGAGTGGCTGCTCCTGCGCGTTGGAGGTAGAGGGGTCCAGTTGGCTATATAGGCTTATTGTGCGGGGGATCGCATTGTTTTTGTGGGTTTTTGGTGCCAAAGCGAACTCAAGTATTACGGGGGCATCCTTGGCTGGCGCAAAAGTGAAAATCTTTGAGTCATTATCTTCCGGGAACAAAATAATAAGCATCCTTTGTAGGACCTCTTCGGGATCTGCGATATAATCATTGTCATTCTCCAGAGATTTCAAATATGTAGTCTTGTAGTTTGGATTGGTCAGAACCTCCGACACTATATGCTTGAACGAGGCTTTCCTGATCTCGCTGCTCATCATGTACATATGGGAGAAAATGCTTTCATTCAGCCCATAGTTGAATATTTTCTCTATGTTTTCTGTCAAGTAGTTTTCCCATTCTGTTTGTGTTAAGCTCTTGACCTCTGTAAGCAGTTGAATCAGACGAGCAGTGTGGTCTGTACGCAGGTCGCTTTGGTCGAGGCTTTCCAAATGCATGATTTGCGACGAGTCAATGTGGGTGAACGCATCAAAACTCTGCTTATTCTTAAGTTGGGCGTGTATGTTTGCTGGAACCGAGACTGCGTTTCTGTTTCTGGGCATGCTGGCTCAGAAATGGAGTCTATTATAGCAATTTTGTGATATATTAAATTGTTTGATCAATTTACTTGTTTATGCAAACAAACAAAAGCACTGCACACGGGTGCCGCGTGATTTTACCAAACAAAAGCTGCTTGGAAGCAGCCCAGCGAAAAAATGCAGATTACGTGTAAAATCCCACAAAAGTGCATCTAAGCACGCAGAGCCGGCTTTCCCTGCCTGTTCCGCGCCAGTGTCTTTTGTATTTTTATTTCAGAATGTATAAATTTTCATTTTTATTTTACCCTTGGATCTCTGCGTAGACATAGAGCTACGCCGTACATTACTCACTAGGATAAAACCATCGGCCATTTTATAAGAGTTGATGACCTGATTCTAGAAACATTTATACATTAACCTCTTTCTTTCTGTGCGGGCTTTGCTCGTGTTTATCCTGGGATAGGGCAAGTGCGGCTGCATTTTATGGCAGAGCGCAGAGACTTACTGTGGGCGCAAAAGCTGGCCCATGCAGAGGGTAGTAGAGTTCGCTCGCGTCTTGTTTTCAACGCTTTGTAAGCTCGTCAATACTGCATAAATGCAAAGTAAAATATTTGCACTCTGGGATGGAGAACATTGAAGGCCTTTTTAGAACAGTTATGAAGGCAGTGTGCTATTCGGCGCATCTGACCAAAAATGCCCCGCTTGTGAGCTCGGTTCTGAAGGCAGACATGTCTGTTGTCAGCCTATACGACGTGGCCATACAGATTCTGTTCTGCCATATGCTTAGAGAGTGGCCGGTCACTATTCTTTCTGAGGAGGAGGACAATGCGTTCTATAGGGAGACGCTGCAGACACTCGAGTCCTGCAGCGGGGATACGCCGGAGTATGTGTACATCCAAAACTTCCTGCGCGAAAGCGGGATTTCACTCGAGGGAAGCCGCATTAAAGCAGTCGTTCATTCGGGTATAGACCCCCAAGACGTTTGTGTGGTGCTAGACCCCATCGACGGCACGAAGGGATTTGTCAGCGCGAGGTCATACTCTGTTGTTGCTTCGTGTGTTCATCGGGGCGCTGTTTTGTTTTCGATTATAGCATGCCCTAAAGAGGGGCAGATATACTATAAGTGCAGCATGGGCGGGGCAGGGCTCTCGGGATATCCGCACAGAAAGCGGGTGAAAACGTGCCGCCTTGGAAGCACATTTGAGCAGACATACAGCGAGTTCGAGAACACCCTGTCCCTGCATGTGTGCGTGTCGGCAGAAGGCTCTCATTCCAGCAGCATAGTGGAGGAGTACTTGAAGAGAATGCAGGAAATGTACCCGATTACTGTGCACAGAATAGACGGGCAGGGAAAGTACGCGTATGTGGCCACGCAGCAAATGGACATCTTTTTAAGGGCGCCCAGCACAAGAATATGCGAAAAACTGTGGGACCACTGTGCAGGCGTGGACATGAATGACCTTTCTGTGGTCACTGATTTGCACGGGAAATCGCTGGACCCATGCGTCCCGACAGAGTATGGTGTTTTGGCGTCGCACTCTTCTTTTTTTCATCGCATATCAATAGGATTGCTGAAGGATTTGATATAGAGTAGAATATTTTTGTGCATGAATTTTCTATACGCACTCAAGATGATAGGATTCGGAATACTTTCGCTTCTGCCAGGGCATATAGACAGCTTGGACTCAGACACTGCATTGAACACGTGCTTGAACCGGATGAATGAGCACAGGAACGTTTACATGGACTTGGCGAACGAGATTAGACAGGCGGACCGAGAAATTTCAAACATATACTATAAAGGCGTAGATGCGACCGAGATGGCTTTGCGAAACCAGATTATTTTTGACCGAAGAGGCTACGAGTATTCCAAGCTCAGAAAGCCCATGCATGGGATAAGAGGGTGCGGGCCCCAGGAAGGCCACCACAACCTCGACTTGAGAAAGCAATACATGCACATAATGGATATTATACGCGGGACCTCGAGAACAATAAGAATGTGCTTGGCAGATTCGAAAGGCGACTATCTTGCTCGCAATGTTTTTAAGGAGACCAAAACGGAAATTAATAACATATATTACGACAAATTCAAGTCCGAGTCTGATTTCTCAGGCCTGAAGTTCAAGTGGACGCCCCCAATAAGCCAGCTGCACATGATCGTTGACATTGTCAAGCGAGCTACAACCGTAGACAAAACATACTCGTCAACATACCGGATGCTTCAGGAGCTCCCGTCAGCTTCTATATGCAGTGAAGACCAGAGGGTGAACCCAAGTGAGCATGTTATAGCTTCAAACAACACTAGCAACCTAAGTCTTCCCTTTTCCACGCTGGGAGGAGACGTGCTGAATTTGAGGAGGTTCAAAGACATCATGGTGTCGAAACAAGAGGAGAACCCAGGCTTTCACTTCTTGCAGCAGCATCTGCAAAATGTCGTCAACTATCAAATTCTGTACAAAAACCCTATCGGGAAAAGCGTGCCGATAAACAACTTCAACGAGGATAGCGCAAAAACCCTCAGGACGTCCCACGTTGCTCTGAGCCGGCAGATAGAAGACTTGTTAATGGATCTTGACCTAGGCAAGTCTTTCAGCATAAACAAGTATATGGAGCTGGTTGAGCAGACGTACACTATACAGCTAAATTTGATTGAGCGGATGCTTAGCAACTCTGCATACATGGCTCTGCGCAACGTAATAGCCGTGCTGGCGTATGAGTTTGACAAAGACCAGATGATTTTTAGAAGCACTAGAAATACCACTTCATATTATAAGTCCCAGCTAATTGCGCTTCTAAAAATGGCACAGTCCAGAGAAAACGCGAACATGGAACTGCTTTCGCACATTTTGGACATAAATTTTTCTTTCACCAACAAGAACAAGATGCTTGTGTTCCACCCAAACACGTTTGCGCCCTCTCCTAAAATGGCGATGCATATTCTTAACATGGCATGGGCTCGGTTTATAAACATTGAGTTAGTAAAGAGCACGAGGGAAGTAAAATACACGAATATTTTGAAGAGAATCGAAGCTATAAAGCCGAAGGGAGCACACGCAAATCTTAACGAGCACTTCAGACAGCAGATGGACATGATTACCAGTGAGGCGCTTGAGTTTATTACAAAGGGCGAGTATATTACCTTGCAGCAGCACTTAATGCAGATTGAGCTGGTGCGCTCGGAGGTTGATCTTCTGACGGAGGAAATAATGACTGTGCCAGAGTATACGTCCTGCTTTGCAAAGCAGAAGGTTGAAGGTGAGTCCCCCTTGCTTGATATGGGTGTGGCAAGGAACCTGCTTTTGAAGCTGTCCATTCGGCAGACTCTCAACAACGAGCTCCTGGGAACTGTTTCCATGAAAAGAGAGGAATATATGAACAACTTGCTGGTAAAAGACTCTACGCGGCTTGACCCCTTTGAGATGCTGAAGTGCCGACAGCCCGGCGCAGTTAGCAACCTCACAGACACACAGTCCATTGCAGAAAGAGAAAAGCTAATTGAATACATAAAGAAAAAACTGCCCGAAAAAATGCCCCAACCTAGCTATGGACCCCTACCCCAGACGGAAAATAACGCGCCTATGTCTTGCCAGGAGATTCGTAGCCAGTTGAGAAATTCTGGCAATCGGCTAAGAAACCAGTATGCAATATATAAAAAAGAGGCAGCCGTTCAATACAACGTAAAGAGGGAAAGGCCCCAGGAGAAAAAACCCACCGAAGCCGCAAGAACTTAGCGCCTGTGCTTTTTAGTCTGTGAACTCTGATATTCCTTGCTGGCGCTGCACTGCTAGGCGCCTTTGGGGCGATCGGAGTCTTGCTGCGGCGCCACAGAAAGTGCACGGTTCTACCTATGCAGCATTGAAATGCCTTTTCTGAATGTAGCATATTAAATAAAACGGTGCAAACCAATATACCCAGGCCCTACGGCTTGATGCTTCTTCTCTTTCCCAGGTGCAAAAGGCTTGCTGGCGCACAATCCGGCAGCAAGTCCAAAAACAAGCCAAAATCCAGGGCGCTTTTTATTCATATTTAAAAGCAGCGCGCAGGCCCTTTAAAGGCCGGTTGCTGGCGGCGCCTCAGCACGCACTGCAGCAGTGTTTACTGCTAGCGTCAGCGTAGTCTCTGCGGGCCTATACACCCCTATAAACACATCTGCAAGCTCGTACATGTTTTCGCGCAGGCTGATCACCAAAAACTGGCAGCTCTTTGACTTCTCCTGTATAAACTGCCCGACAATTCCCACGTTTTTGTAGTCCAGGGCTGCATCTATCTCGTCCATAACGTAGAAGCTGTTTGGGTGGTACTCGTGCAGCGCAAATATCAGGGACAGGGAGGCAAGCGTTCTTTCTCCTCCGCTCAAGTGCGAGATGCTCTTCCAGCTCTTTCTGGGAGGCATCACGCTCATCACAACCCCCTCCGAGAACGGGTCCAGATAGTCAACCGGCTCTATTTCCGCGTCCCCTCCAAAAGTAAGCATGCTGTATATTCTCTTCAGGTCTTGGTTGATTTTCCGTATGCTGGACGTAAACTTGTTCCCGCGCTCCTCCTTCAGCTGGGCCAGATAGTTCTTTGCGCTTCTCTCCTCTTTCTCTCTGCCGCTCAGGCGCTCCTCCTCTCTGGCGCACTGCGCCTTCTTCTCCTGGTAGGCAAGGTACACCTGCATCTCGCTCTCTACCTCGTCGGGGTTCATGTCTCTTACGTGGCTGTCTGCAGATATGCCCTCTCTGTGCTCTCCAAGCCGGCCCAGTATTGCCTCTTTCTGCACGCCAAGACACTCTTTTTCTTTCTGCAGCTGGACATTTTTCGCTCTTGAAAGCCCGCACTTCTCTTCAGCGGCTGCGAGTGCGCCGCCTGCCTCGGCCTCCTTGATCCTGTGCACGTCTATTTCTCTCTGCAGGGCCAGCCTCTTTTCGGCGGCGCTGTCCATTCTTATTCTGACTCCGCGCAGCTCCTTCTCTGCCTCCTCCATGCACGCTCTCTCCTTCTCCGCCGGAACCAGAGAGAGTCTGCTGCACTTTTCGACTGCCTCTTCCAAAGCGCGTTCTTTCTCCAGCGGGCACACCACCGGCTCTTTGAAGACCTTCTGCAGCTGCCCGTTTCTTTGGCGCAGCGTGAAAATCTGCTCGTCCAGGCCCTCCACGCGCGCCTTCGTCATCTTGTACGAGGCCCCTCCGAGCTCGTCCAGCCGTTCCTGCAGCGCCTTTACTCTCTCCTCCATTTCTGCCTCTTTCGCCCGAAATCCTTCTATTTCCTTTTCCAAGGCAGCCTCCTCCTTCTTTGCCTTTGCGTGCGCTTTGCTGAGGCTGGGCACTTTTTTCATTTCCTCCTGGCTTTTTCTCAGTCTTTCCGTGAGGATTTTTATTTCCAGGCTGAGCTTCTCCTTGCTGCTCTTGTGGGCAGCCTCTTTTTCCAGCCGGTTTCTGGCCTTCTCCAAGGCCGCCTCTACAGTGGCCAGGCCCTCTTCCGCCTCTCTGCACGCCTCCTGGCACTCTTTGAGCTCTCTACCAACGTCTTTTTTCGGCCTTTTCTCGGAGAGTGCAACGGGCCGCACCGCGCCTCCGCTCATTAGCCCGCTTCTGTCAATCACCTTTCCGTCAAGAGTGACCACCTTTGGCCTATCCGGAGAAAACGCCCTCTTCATTGCGGCCTCCATATTGTTCACCACAAGAGTGTCGCCCAGTATGTGGTAGAAACATCTTTTGTAAACGTCCTTGCACTTTACCTTGTCGAGCAGCCGGTTGCACTCGGTCGACGGCTTTACGCCTGCTATCCTGTCCAGCACAAGGATTGTGTGCCTGCCCAGCCTTTTCTCTTTTATGATGTCCAGGCACGCTTCCGCCACTTTTGTCGTGTCCACTACGAGGTTGTTCACCGACCCCTTTGCGACAGCAGAGAGCGCCATTGTGTACTTGTCTGGAATTGACCCGAGCTCTTTGATTCTTCCGTGGTACCCCTCTATGCTCTGCAGGTGGCTGGTCAGCTTGTCGGTTATGTCCGATGTTTTCATTTCGTTTTTTACGTCGCTCAGCAGGGCCTCCCTCTTTCTAAGCTCTATCACCGTTTCTTCCTTCACCTTGAGAAGCTCGCCCACCCTTGCCAGAGCCTTTTCGTGCTTCTCTGGGCTGTATGCGCACGCCTTCTCCTTTGCCCTTTCTATTTCCAAGGGGGCCTCTTCTGCCTCTTTCTTTATCCGCTCCAGTGCCTCCTCAGCAACTTCTCGCTCTTTTCTTTTTTCCCGCAGAAGGTCTTTCACGGCCTTAGACGCCTTCATGTGGCCAAGCAGCTCTTTCTGCGCGGCCTCCAGCTGCAGCTTTTCCTCGCCCTGCATTCTCTCCTCGGCCTTTGCAACCTCCGCGCTCAGCTCTTCCCTTTCCTGCAGGCTCCGCGCTATTTTTTGCTCGTTTTCAACCCGCTCTTCTTCGCTCTCCTTTCTTTTTGCCTTCTGCCTGGCGCGCGCCTCCTGCATCGTCTCTATCTCAGATCTCAGCGCCTCTATCTTTGCCCCGTAGATCTTTTTCATCTCCTGGGCGCGCTGGTTCTGGATGTCAATGGCCTCGTAAGCGCCCTTTGCGTGCAGGTACACCCCCTCGGCCGCCCTGAACTGCCCCTTCGCGCCTTCTTCCTCGGCCTCTGCCTCTTTCTGGCCCTTCAGCATCTCCTCCTTCTTGGTGCGCGCGCTCTTTATCTCGCCTTCCGCAGCTGCCTTCTCAGCAGACGCCTGCTCCTCTGCGTCGGCAGCCTCTTTCCTTTCCTCCTCGATTATCTCCAGCCGCTTGCGCATGGCCGCGAGATGGCTCCCTATTTTCGACTTAGCTGCCTCCGCCTTGGGCTCTAAGTATGCCACCTCCTTCTCCACAAACTGGTATTCTGCCCGGTACCTGTCAGCCACCTCGGTCGACAGCCTGGCGTCGTTCTCCGCCTTTTTTATGGCCTCTATGTACACATTTGTGCCTATGATCTCCTCCAGGTACTCCACAAGGCCCACGGTTTCCCCAGCGCCCTTTGGCTTCATATTGGAGATGCTTTCTATCTCCCCTTGGAGTATCATAAACCGGTTGTTCACCAGATCCACGTTGTGCTCCTTCATTAGCTCTGTTATGCTTTCCTGCGCAGAAACTGCGCCATTCACAGAGTACGTGCTTTTCCCGGCCTTTGCCACAGTGCGCGAGATGCTCAGCGGAACGCCCTGCTCGTCCACCATTTCTATGGTGACAGAGGCTTTGCTAGGCTTGGGCTCTCCAGAGTGTATCAGGTCCTCGGCCCGTGAGTGCCGCAGCTTCTTGGCCTTGAACCCCAGCACAAACAGAATCGCATCAATGACATTGCTTTTTCCTGATCCGTTCGGGCCCACCACAGTGTTGAACCTTTTTCCAAATGGGCCTATTGTGTGCACTCCCTTATAGCTTTTGAAGTTGTCCACTATAATCCTTTCTATGTACAGCTGCCTTTCTTTCTGCTCCATTGAAAAAATATTCTTGCTTCTTCATATAAATAGAAAATCCCGCGTGCACACGTGTCCTGCAAGTGCCCAGAGAAAGCCTGCAAAAACCAAACCGTTTTCTCTGGGTTTACAGCCCGAATAGACAGAGGCTCTTCTCAGAAAAGCCGCATATGTGTTTCATCTGCTTTTTGTGTGCGCACGCCCAGACCCGAAACTTTATGTTCAGACTCTGCACGGGCGCCAAGCTCTGAAAGGGCGAACGCAGTGCTTTGCACGCGTGGGCAGAATGCAGAAGAATGTGTGCATGCCCAGCAGTAAATTCCTGCTGAAACCGGAGATGCAGTGCGACAGAAGAGAGGCCTGGGCCTTAGAGCATGTTTGTAATTGGCCTGTGCGCAAACAAAGTATCTGTTTATTTCTTCCCATAGAGGCTGCTTGCGCTTTCTGCGAGGCCCTGCAGCTAGAAAGGCAAAGCCCTGCAGAAAGCGCAAGCAGACGCATTTGCGTATACTCGGAGTTCTGGCTTCAAGCAGAGAGGGCGCCGCAAGCCTATGTGACCAGGAAAGCGAGCTATGGAACCACATCATATTGTGGCTGTGCATACGCGTATAGTGCTTGCTCATGTATAAACTCTTCAAAAACCTGCCTTTTCAAGCTGCCGAGAGCGTATGTGTATAGAACTTCTTTTTCATCTTTCAGCAGCTCTAGCTTGTTGAAGCCCTCGGAAATTCTTATAGTAAGAGAGCTGGTGAGCCATATTAAAAAAATCATGCCGGGATGTATATTGCCTAGACAGTTGCTCTGGCTGCACATAGGGTCTATTACATACATGCAGCGGACCTGCTTCAAGTATTCAAGACCCATTCTGCCATGTGTGTTCATTTTTTCGTGGGCACTGGGGTTGTGCAGGCCGCTGCAGAAAAACACGTTCAGTTCATCCAGGGCCGCGCAGAGTCTTGCGTGGATTTCTTGGTATTCGCGCGAATGTATCCAAGAAAAGGTGTGCTGGTCCGGCATGCCGATGCTTTGTCTTATGGATCTTTCGATTTCAAACGCATTTCTTGGGTCTCTGAGGTAGCTAAGGATGGCTGTCGATTTGATGATCGACATTCTGTAGGGCTCCTGCGAGTGGACGCTCTCCAAAAATATGCCCTCGTTTAAGGTGGAGTTTGTGATGTGACAGTCTCTTAGGATTTCCTCAATTGCCTGGATAAAGAACTTGCCGATGAACTCGCCCATCCTGCCCCTGTTTTGCTCTGGGCTGGGCATGGCAAAGATGCAGAGCTCGTTCCTGAGATCTGCAACAGAGATGCACAAACTCTGCAGCATACTATTCGCCTCTAAGTATGCAAAGCCTTCTATGCTATTGTTCTGGGCTATCAGAGATTCTATCTTTCTTGAGACAAGCTGCACGTTTTTGAACATCTTTTTCAAATTCGGGTTTTTGACATATCCAGTGTGGGTTGCGACAATGGGCGACGGTCCGTCGCTGGCAATGATCTGCAGAAAGAGGGAGAGGTTCGATGGAAAAGACTTTAGGGTCTGTATAGGAATGGCCATTTTTGCAATGTCGGTGTACATAGCGTTCTCCAGAATTTGCAAAATCGAGTTTATAACCGGGTCTCTCTTAGAAAAATCTTGGTTTTCTTCTATAGAGCATATCTCGCACACTATTCTTTGCACGTTCATTAGAAGCGCTTTTTTGTCTATGGAAAATCTCTG